TAAGAGATCTATGATAAATGATTTAATTTTGGATGTAACACGTCTTCTGATTGGCTGAAAGTTTTTTGTATATCAGCTCATAGACATAATTTTATCATGTGACCGTGACGTCATCAACGTTTTTTCACGATTCACTCCTTAAAAATGGAATTTAGAATTAAATTATAAGGACTGACAGTAATATTGTTTTTTTGTCTATTCGAAATAACCTCTAAAATGTGGTGCGTACTTTTAAATAAACCGCTACGCGAGTTATTCAGTGTGCACCACATTTTTATGCTATTTTTTCAAAGACAGAAAAAATTTGTAGTCATTCCTTAAATATATATGAGTTGGTCTGGCTGTGGCTTCAGATATCAAAATTTAGTTGATTATATTCATATTTATATATGATTATCCAAATTATTTGTGTCAATTATTAAAATCATTGTAATAAATTACTTTTCTCTTCGTGGGCCCTTTAATTGGAAGAAAAAGATACCTTATCTTATATCTATATTTTTATGATGTGTCACATTTGATAGCATGAATGATTTTTTCTCCATTGAGTAGTTCCTGAATTATGTCTCATTTAAAACCTTTCAGAATACACTTCATGACGCAACTCCTCCTTCATCTTCAGGAGGAAACTTGTATATTAGGTCGCAATGCGAATAAAATAGAGAATGGAAATGGGGAATGTGTCAAGTTGACATTTATAAATTATTATATGATTTATAAAGTCATCGGAACTAATATATTTTCAGCCAAGTCCACTCTGTGTTTTTGTTACTTGTTTTTGCTGTGTATCTATCTGATGAGTTAAGCCCTTTTCAAATGATTTTTATAGTTTGTTCATATGTTGTACTGTTACACCACTGTCCCAGGTTAGGGGGAGGGTTGAGCGCTCGCTAACATGTTTAACGTCGCAACATTCTGTATGTGCCTGTCCAAAGTCAGGAATTCAGTGGATTTCGTTTGTTGCTGTATATCATATTTGTTTTTCATTATTTTGTACAGAAATCAGGACGTTAGTTTTCTCGTTTGAATAGTTTTACATTTGTCATTTTGAGGCCTTTTATAGCTGACTATGCGTTATGGGCATTGCTCATTGTTGAAGGCCGTACGGTGATCTATAGTTGTTAATGTCTGTGTCATTTGGTCTCTTGTGGAGAGTTGTCTCATTGGCAATCATACCACATCTTCTTATTTTTATAAGTTGATGAGTAGTAGAGTCTGAATCTACAATAACTAATCTATCATTACTATGAAAAGATTCAATAAAATAGACACAAGCGGCTAACAATGACATGAAAATAATTGTCTGTTCCTCTTACAAAGTTTCTTACATTGAGATAATTTAAAGAATGTAAATGTATAGCAAATACTTGTCTGAAACTTATTAAAACTGCAAATTCAGATGAGTTTAAAAGAATATTGCAATTTAGAAATTTTAATCTAAGAATTTATATGTTTCCAATCCGACCCAACATTGTCTGTGTAATGTGTCAGCTTCTCTATAGGTTTATGAAAATATTGCAATTTCATATCATAATACACCAATGTCATCATTGAGGTCAAAAACCAAAATATGACCTAGAACTAATGTCATTTCTTTTTAAAACATACAAATCACTTGGTGATATATTTCTGAAGATGGCTCAAACTTCAAATTTTTTATTTCGCTTAAGTGGGTGTGTCCTTATTTTTTTTTCTCCTTTGAACAATATTTAATTTCTAAAAGTGAAGCGATTTTGCTAGAAGTGATACCCAATGTATTGTGCGTATGCAGTTATCTGCTAATACTTTAAATGGCTATTATGGGTACTTTTGATGCACCATCTGTTGTCATGTAAGAGACCTGTTTGCTTTCTGTCTATATTTACTATTAGCTTTTTTAAGCTGAACGATTATTGTACTAAAAATTGATAACATAGAGGAAAAAATACAGGTCTTTTGTTTGCATAAAATATTATAACCGAGATTATGTAGGTGTTAATCAGTTTTCTTGATTTTGGTCGATTCTACTTGAAGTTTTATGAGAGCTTTTTGCAGTTGTAAAATAAAAAAAAAACTTTTTCATTACACTATTTTTTTTAACTCATATATACAGATTGGGGAATATATGCACTGCCAATTTGTAACTCACCTATATCTAGCCTCTCAGTGCATTACAGTGACAATTTCAGAAATATACAATAGTTAGTGACATTCATTTTGTATTCTAATATTGTGTTTTTTTTATATGAATAGAACATCTTATAATCATAAATGAATGTATAGACATTTTTTCAGTAATTCTGTAGTTTTGTGATAGTGTACTCGCTTTAAGTGCGGGAGGTGGTGGGTTCATTTTTTGAAATGGTCAGCCCAAAGACTTTTTCGCTCATCATGCATTATTCAGAAACAAGGGAAAGAACAGGCGGTTGTAACTTAGTCAGAAGACCGACTTATAAAAGTTTTTCAATACTTGTATCCGAATCCAAAATTTGACTGCTATATATTGGTATTTTCCCGTCATAGTATTTTCAATAATAAATACTATTTAAACTGAACTAAGTCTGAATAATGCGTCAGAGTAGGGTAATAAATGCACTTGCGTTGTGAGACAGCATGTTTAAATTCAAACAACAGTTTCGGTCTCGTCCAAAGCCGGAAATTTCCATGAGCCATTAAAATCCTCACTATTCATATAATACTTGCCTCTTAACATTTCGCGTCAATCAATCTATCATATAGTAATTCTGGAAAAAAAATATTGAAGAAGACTTGTTATATAGAATTATCAAATTATTATGGACATAACATCTTAAAGAATAGAAATTTTTATTGAAGGAGTCAGTAAATCAATTTCTAAGAAAAAAGGCAAATAGTGACGTAACTGATTAAATATTCTTTTAGAATTTCATTTAAACTTCTGACTTCGGAACACCCAATTTGACGGTCACATATCATACTTGTATGGTTTGAAGTAGCTGATTTCTTGTTCAACATTCTAGGTGTATGGCAAAGATATGTATTTGTTTGTACGATATAGACTTAGGTATATATGATTACATTACAAACATCAAGGATGTTGTGAAAGGGCAGTGTACTTACTAGGGAACAATTGATGCAACAGCAGAACACCACATATACTGTACAACGACAGCTGTCTTGTTTTTTAATGTTTCTGATTTTGTTTGTTAGATTAACCTTCAAAGGCGATAAAATATGCTGTTTCTGATTGTCATTCACAATGATAAAATCAATTAATAGGAATTTAGACCATCATTTATCAGATCTTCTTATGGTTGTGATTAGTCACGGTAAGGGAACGACATATGATTTTTATGATTTGGCGGGGCCGGATGATCTTTTTCTGATGGAATATATATTTTCATTTGTTTCTTGGCTGGCCAATTTATTTCCTGCATTTTGTTTCAGTTCTTACATGGAACTTTCGCTTTTGGTGAAATAATTCAAAGTCAGATAAATCACTTTTATCCAGCAGATAGTTAGATTAAAATACATACAACGGAAAACAAACAGTGCTTTCTTCTGTTCAAAATTGCCGTAATATTTGTTTGATTTACTATGTAGACGCTAAACGGAATCAAATATTGTTCTGTGTACAATAATCTAAATTCCTTTTTGTTACGTTACAGAATGACTCAGTGGCTGTGTTCTGTGTACAATATTTTAATTTCCTTTTTGTTACGTTACAGAATGACCCAGTGGCTGTGTTCTGTGTACAATATTTTAATTTCCTTTTTGTTACGTTACAGAATGACCCAGTGGCTGTGTTCTGTGTACAATATTTTAATTTCCTTTTTGTTACGTTACAGAATGACCCAGTGGCTGTGTTCTGTGTACAATATTTTAATTTCCTTTTTGTTATGTTACTGAATGACCCAGTGGCAGTGGTCGGTATACAATGTTTTAATTTCCTTTTTGTTACGTTACAGAATGACCCAGTGACTGTGTTCTGTATACAATATTTTAATTTCCTTTTTGTAACGTTACAGAATGACCCAGTGGCTGTGTTCTGTAAACATTGTTTTAATTTCCTTTTTGTTACGTTATAGAATGGCCCAATGGCCGTGTTCTGTATGCAATGTTTTAATTTCTTTTTGTTACGTTATAGAATGGCCCAATGGCTGTGTTCTGTATACAATGTTTTAATTTCCTTTTTGTAACGTTACAGAATGACCCAGTGGCTGTGTTCTGTATACATTGTTTTAATCCCTTTTTGTAACGTTACAGAATGACCCAGTGGCTGTGTTCTGTATACAATGTTTTTATTTCTTTTTGTTACGTTACAGAATGGCCCAGTGGCTGTGTTCTGTATACATTGTTTTAATCCCTTTTTGTAACGTTACAGAATGACCCAGTGGCTGTGTTCTGTATACAATGTTTTAATTTCCTCTTTGTAACTTTACAGAATGACCCAGTGGCTGTGTTCTGTATACAATGTTTTAATCCCTTTTTGTAACGTTACAGAATGACCCAGTTGCTATATTCTGTATACATTGTTTTAATCCCTTTTTGTAACGTTACAGAATGGCCCAATGGCTGTGTTCTGTATACATTGTTTTAATTTTCTTTTTGTTACGTTACAGAATGACCCAGTGGCTGTGTTCTGTAAACTATGTTTTAATTTTCTTTTTGTTACGTTACAGAATGACCCAGTGGCTGTGTTCTGTATACACTGTTTTAATTTCCTTTTTGTTACGTTACAGAATGACCCAGTGGCTGTGTTCTGTATACAATGTTTTAATTTTCTTTTTGTTACGTTACAGAATGGCCCAATGGCTGTGTTCTGTATACCACGTTTTAATTTCCTTTTTGTAACGTTACAGAATGACCCAGTGGCTGTGTTCTGTATACATTGTTTTAATTTCCTTTTTGTTACGTTACAGAATGACCCAGTGGCTGTGTTCTGTATACAATGTTTTAATTTCCTTTTTGTTACGTTACAGAATGACCAAGTGGCTGTGTTCTGTATACAATGTTTTAATTTTCTTTTTGTTACATTACAGAATGACCCAGTGGCAGTGTTCTGTGTACGATGACGGTTACTGTAGCACTACTATTGTTATCCATAACAGCTGCTAACTCGCATTCTTCTTACGGGAACAATTATAAGTCTAGTTACTCAAAATCAAGTTATGGTTCAAATTCTGGACAAAAGTGGAATTCTGGCTACAAATCAATAAGTGATTATTATAAGTCTCTAAGTTCGAAAGCAAAATCTGTTTATAACTCAAAAGAAAGATATAACTGGAGACGAGCCAACTCTGAAGGCTATAAGTACAACTCAAGATCTGGTTACAATTCAAAAGATACCTTGTCCAAATTCGCTAAAGGTCTGTCCAAATCCAGTTCAGAAAAGGCCCATAAAGAACTTTTTTTTTCATCTGCTCGTAAGTAGAGTTATATAATTTTACTTCATTTGATTGCTTAATTTTGACTCTCCTTTTCAATTCATCAAATATGTTGAATGATTAAGAAATAGTGCAATACTTTCACAAGTACCAAATATTGATATACCTGTGTAATTTTTTAGAATACAATTTGTGTGCCAAATAAAAGTGGACTTAATTTTATCAATATTAAGGCTTATTGAGTTATGCTCTATAACGCATTAAAACATGTTTATAAATGTTTTTGTAATAAGTGATTGAACATGCTACAAAATAGGGGTTTTATCTCGTTTTTCAGGAAAATTAAAGTAAATCCAAAATATCCTTCATTACAACCGCATTATTCGTACTAGTTTTATTAATACTAAGCAAAGTACAAGTGATACACGCCAGAGGACTATAAAAGTAATGTTTGATATAGTCAATTAGACCGTTAGCAGACATTTGCAGTGTTTTTTTATTAGCCAATCAGACAAACAGTTATAATATGAGTTAGTAATGTTTTTGCTTAGCCAATTAGACAACTATCTTTAATAAGACATTACAATGTTCATTCTTTTTTATGCCCCATTTAGGGGCATTATGTTTTTTGGTCTGTGCGTCCGTTCGTTCGTAGGTTCGTCCGTCTGTCCCGCTTCAGGTTAAAGTTTTTGGTCAAGGTAGTTTTTGATGAAGATGAAGTCCAATCATCTTGAAACTTAGTACACATGTTCCCTATGATATGATTTTTCTGATTTTAATGCCAAATTAGAGTTTTGACCCCAATTTCACTGAACATAGAAAATGATAGTGCGAATGGGGCATCCGTGTTCTATGGACACATTCTTGTTTAATCTGTGATGATCAGGTCTACACTAGTTTTCTTATTTGGACCTTAATGTTGAGGGGTTTGGGGGATAAAAAAAAAATAGAAATAAATTTATCATACTTTGCCAAAATAAAGTTTATCTCGTTCTTTTTTTCAAAAATATAATTACATATATGGGTCGTCGATATTTTTTAAAGAGGCTTTGCAAAAGTGTCAGATTTTCTAATAATTATATACAATTATGGCCTTCATGAAAAGTTAATGTCCAATCGATTCAAAAGGAGGAAAGGTTATTTTCCTCACGTTCTGTAGGACCCCCTCAATAGAAACAAAAGAGCAAGAAAAGAGATATAACAGGGACAAACGACTTATCCTGACTTGTAGGTTGGTTAAATCCGTATATATTCAGTTTGACTTTGGAATATAAAAATATTGTCGAACTTTTCAAATACCGGACGGGTACTAGACTAAGCACATGAACTTATGTCGGTGTTGACCTACTTTTTAGCTCAATCTTAATTCTCTCTTCTTTGCATTTGATGTAATTTAACATTATTTTGCAAGTTCACTAATGTTATAATTTGGATGTTATTTTAACTGAATGTTTTAAGCTGGACATTGTAAGCCTATTTGTCCATGTTATATGAATGGAATAAGTTATGATCATGGTGACCGTTGGCAGTCAAAAGAAGATCCTTGTACAACTTACAGGTGTGGAAATGGTTTCTACGAAGCTGTTGTACGAGGTATGAAAAACTTCAGATACGTCCATAATTCAATAATACGATGCAACTCCCATGTATCAACTCTACTAAACTATTCTTAGGGCATATCAATAAAATTCTTCAATCTATATATATATAGCCGACAGCCCCACAAGACTGGTGGACACCGAATTTGTTTATTTAACACATAGCATTTGTTATCATCAATATAATTTGTGTACATAAAAATCAAATATAATCTTACGATCATGTGTGTTAAGAAATATGTTGCTCTGTCATCAACGATCGCGCCGTCCAGGAAAACCAATAAAAACGAGTTAACTCGGTCAAACTACATTTCAAATGCAGTCAAATGACTACATTTCAAGTAATGTGGAAAATGTCGGAAAATTGTGTCCAAAACCCAATGCTCGAACAATCGTCTCGAGAGTTATATAGTGCTTTTACGTGTATAATGATGTTAAAATCGTTTGATGTACAATTGGTTTTGGTAATTAATATTTATTACATACATTTCTCTCGGTACTTTCTCGGAATATGGAATAAAACAAATACTGTCTTTTGTTTCGGTAAATATGTGGTTTAATTGACTTTTGAAAAACTGATATTCACTTCGGTCGTTGGCCTCAGTGAATATCAGTTTTTCAAAAGTCAGCATTTGTATAATGTCAACCCTAAAAGGTTATTTCCCTGAGTGTGCACTTTAAAGGTAGTAAACACACTTTACACCTTGTTATTTTGTCCTTGATGGATAGTTATCAATTTTGCAATTATGCCACACCTCCTTATTTTTATATTTTTATGTTTAAGGTAATATTGATTTCATTGTCAAACAACAATACGAAGTTGTAACAGAAAAGAAAAGGATATGGTATTTTAATTCATCACATAAAATACTAGTTATATAATTAAAAATTATCTAGTCCCTCCCCATCAGATCATACCTGTTAAATATAATGAAAACTGTAAAGAATCCTACCCATTTGCAATATTTATTTTCCTTTTGCCATGAAAATACCTTTTAAATACTAAAATGTGTCTGTTCGGCCTTTTATTTACAGGGGTGACTTCTGCAGTATGGAGCCATTAGTTTTACTCCAATAAAACAGTTCCACCTAGTTTTGTTTTGTATTTGTTACAATCTGAAATGCCTAAAACGCAGGTCAACAAAATTAATGATTTAATGAAAATATAAAATTTATATAATGTTATCCCTTTAGGTGTGATGTTTAAAGGACAGTGTAAAAATGTTGGAACTATATGGACAGAGGGATGTTTTACTTATCATGTCAGGCTTATAGGCAACACTCCTATCTACAGACTGAAAGAAGGAGGTATGTTTGATAGAGTGAAAACAATTATTTATAAAATCAATATAAGATTACAATGGAACCTATGGTTTTAATGTTCTTCAATTCGTATTTGGTATGTCTTTCAAACTTTGTTGATTCGAGCGCCACTGGTGAGTCTTATGTAGTCTGGCATACCAAATTATTAGCATGGTCACTTTGATGAGTGATCTAATATAATATCATTATTATCTAAATGAACACAGAATATAAATGGATGATAAAACACTTGCAAATCTTTGGGAGCCCTCAGGGATTTTATCAAATGAAAGACAAAACATATTTTAAAAAAGATTTCTGTTGGTCAATCCTTAGCCTTGTTGAAAATTTGAATTTATCATTCAAATGCAATAAAAAAAAATGATGCCCGAAAAATACAGAAAATGCATCTCACAGCCCTAATAAGCGCAATGAGTATTTTGAAATATTTATTGACATGAAAAATATCTACTAATGACGATAAAAAACATAACTGTTTTATCTGAACTAGGCTGTTGTCATTGTAAGAGTAACGAAATAATAAGATTCACGCCAAATCTTTACTTTAGCTTTGCAAAGCTACAAAACGTTGAAGACTTATCAAAAAATTCTTCTGATTTCTTACAATTATATTGGTTATTCTTTTAGACATCATTTGAAAACACAACTCCTCATGTATTTGTGTATCTGTGGATGCCGAAATATGTGGCTATGACCGTTCCGTTGGAAGGTTGATCCAGAAATAGGCAAAAATGATAAACATAAAACTTGATTCCTCAGTTGTATAATTGTCAATATATAATATATTTATTCAATGAAGGCTGTAAAGACGAGGAAGGTAACTGCTGGAGAGTTGGCGACCAGTTCAAGAAAAACTGTAACACATACGAATGTCAGATAGTAGGGACATGCTATACTTTATCGCTCATTTCTAAAGGTAATAATCAGGTTTCCCGCTTTATATAATTTCAAACTAGTATCTTCCTTACGCTATTTGTCTTCCGCGCAACTAAAGGATATTTTAGAATTTGATTCTCGGTTTGGGAAATCTTGTGCATATTGACAAAACGAAATTCGAAGTTTACGAAATCTAAATGGTTTAAAATACAATAAAATGTTGTTGTTTTATAGAAGCGAAACGAGGTTGGATTATTACTTCGTTTTAAATATTTGCAATTTTAGTTGTCTGGTGAACTTTCGATTTTACTCACATCTCATTTGCTAAATTGATTCTTATATACTCTTCATCTGTTAAATAACCTTTTCCGAACGAACGGAATGTGATTATTATTTTTCAACCTTATTGATTCATTTGAAAAAGCATCGGTTAAATAATTATCTTATATATGATTTGAAAAAATGTTATTCTTGTGGATGAATTCTGCATTCGTTGTTAAAATAATGGCACATTTTATGAGAAAGCGTTGACTGCTCACTCAATTTGATACCAAATACCAGATACGTATTTTTCTATATTTATGTGCATTTGTACTTTTATTTTCCAAATATTTTAATTTGCAATGGCTTGGAATGTACAATTGATAGATAAATCATTTTAAAAGAACTCAGAGAAGCCACCTATTGAATTACATGTTACCTTTAAGATACTCGTGGTCTTTGTTTTTCCAAGTCATGGGATTTGGTTATTGGTTATTTGTAGGCCAAATGAGTTTCCTTGGAAGTGATCTTTGAGGAATGACTCACATTGAACTTAAATTACGTCCAAAATAAATTGCTTCTATAAAATAAGAACCCCCATCCAGACCCTTCATCAACATATGACGGTCATCTGATCGAAATCAGTCCAAACATTAAAACTGTTGGCCTGAAAAAGTCACTGTAAAAGTTAATTCAAAAATTGTTTTATTATTATAAAAAAACAATTATGTATGACTAAAATATTAAAGTGATATAAATTTCAATGTACAGGTTGTGCGTTTAATGGTGAATGTAAATCAGTCAATAAATTTTGGCATGACGGATGTGCCATTTATCAGTGCATGGATCACAGTGGAAAGGCAGAAGAGGTACACAATGGTGAGTGGACGAGATATTCTTAACTATCTAGCTATCAGCATAAAATACGAATAAATGAAATAAGTAGGTATATGGCTCATTACACACAAGCATTATCAGACGCTTTTACTCTATCAGAGGAAATGAATACGTTTATGTCTTACAAAATAGTTTGAAATCAATGTAAATTAAAAAAAAGAAGGATATGGTCAGACTTTTATGTAGAAAGTCACGAGAAACAAAGTATCAATTCTCTTAATGATAAAACCATGCCTTATAGGGAAGCCATTCACCCGAAGGGTTGAGATCTTAATCATAATCTGATTTTAAACACTAAAATTCGCAACAAAAGTTAACATAACGAAGGCGATGCTTTCCGACATTTTTGTTATTCAATTGGGTTCCACAATGGATAAATAATGTTTTAAACGTTATATTCTGTACACTATATAATTTCTAATGACTTTAAATGTTAACAAATAGGAGAGTCTGTTTTTCTTAGACTCCACACTAAAACTTTTCCCAAATGCCAACACTGTGTCAAACCTGTGAGATGTAAAACGAAATTAGGTTTCAAAATTCAAATTTTAACTGGGAAGGAAGAATAGTTAAAGAATGGCAAATATGTCTTCATTTAAGAATTGAATGCATCTTTTTAAAATTTTAATGGGGTTTAAAAGCGTTGACCGAAGCATTTTTTGTATGAAGCGCAGAAGCGCTTTATATTTAAAATGTGCACACGATCAACGCTTTTACAACCGTATAAAATTATAAAAAGAAGCATTCAATTCTTATAATTACATTTTTATGCTATAAACCATTAGATCAATAGTTATGTCAAGTTTTTCGTTTGTTTTTCGATGCATCATTTTAACATTGTCACGGATAGCACGTGCAGTCATAGCTGTTGTATTGTATAAGGAAATAAAATGTGGCATTTTTGTGCCTCACGATTGTTGTCAGCAAATCAAAATTACGGATTGTAATGAATAAAATTGAGAGGGTAAACATACATGTAATGTAATTATTCATGAATACAAATCTATATCACTTATAAAAAAAAACACAAAGAAAAGAAAGAACTCGTGTAGTGCTGTTTTTATGTCAAAGTCAACACACAACTACAGCTATCACCTCACTGCAAATATAAGACGACCCCAGTACCGATTAGAGTTGATTTCTATGCTAGATGTATATAAAACTGCATATGTGCATTTAGGAATACATATGAATGAAAATAATTATGAGGAATTTATTTGTTAGGGATAAAGTAACATTATTTCTTCGACGAGGTGTAAATCAGGCAAGAACTAGTAAATGTACAATGTGCAATGACCTATAGTTGCTTGTATGCGATCTGGTCTCTTGTGGAAAGTATTCTCATACCACATCGTCTTAATGTATATAATGTGTAATGAGTTGTCATCTGTTGTAATCTTATTTTCTGTTCACTAGAGATTATGTACTGGCCAGAGGGTGATTATGGACTACTAAAATCAAAGTCTGGTTGTCCAGTTGATGTTGCAGAAGAATGGTCAGAAGGACATAGAGGGCATATTGGAAGTTTGAAGAATTATGTATCATTTGATTTTGACGCCTTTGGATTGTACAGTAGTTTCGTCTTTATACATTATTTCTGTATGAAGCGAGAAGTGAATGATTCTTCCATACGTCCTCGATACCAGACATATTGGGAAACAGGACAATATTGCATCATGAGAAAAAATGGAACTTGTCCTAAAGGTGCTTTTTGTTAACTTAAATGGGAAAGTTTTGTTTTATTTCTATGAACAAAGGAGGTACATGTCAATGAGACAACAAACCAACGCTGAAAATGTCCTAACATATAAATGAAAACATAAAATCTTTAACAACAGACAGGTTTCCATGTAATATGGCTATCTCATAATCGTCCCGAACCAATACAATTTGTTTTATGAATTATTTTCTTTGTTTCGTTGAACATATACGATTTGTTCAGCTTAACTTTGATTTTGTGAAAGACAAGCGTTCAAAAGCAAGGGATAAATTTTTTTTTTATAAAGTTCATATTTAGATATACTATGGCGCATATCGTTGCTCACAAAAATATTTTTATTTGCTTTTTCTGGCTTATTTAGGGTTTCAAGAGGGATATATTACCATGGACGATGCAGATAGTTATGAACATCTAAGTACCACTAATGGTTCACTGCCTGATGGAAGTTATAAAAAAGACACTACATTTTATTTCTGTTGCCGAAATGATGGAGATATTGAAGTTCCGCTGGTATTGCCAAAGGAAAGACCATTTATTTTGTTTATGGGAAGTAAGGCGGACGATTGTCAACAAGTTAGAGGTACATGATGCAAGAAATTACCTGTGGTCTCGCATTTATATCTTACTAGTGTCATCAATGTTAGAGGTATTTGATGGTAGCTCACATAGTTTCCGAACTTATTGTTAACAAGTTAGATGTATACTTAATGTAAGAAAATTCCTTAGGCTTTAGACAATTTAATATTTTTTTTCTGTGGCAAGTTTATGCAAACCATACCAGAGACGATTAAATGACTAAAGTGTTTCAGATTTCAAACGTTTCATTTTTTATACAATAGTATTGGTACATGAATAAAGAGTACCCAAATATTAAACATTTATAAAAATTATTTAAACTGGATATGATTTAATGTAGTATTAACGCATGCTACATGCATATGACAAGCGTAATGATTTAACTCATGTAAGTATAGGCTTCTTTATCTAAGAAGCCTTAAAATTGAGAAAAGCGCTTTGGACGCATGAAATTTATAACGTGTTGTTTTCATTTTTAAAACAGGCATGACCACAACAGTCGAAGCCTCTTGGGTAAAGTTTGACGAATACATTTTTATATTTACATGCTATTGTTCATCATTTTGCTATTACTTTAAAGTCACATTAATTATAATGTATTAGAAAAAACTATATTTTGGAACCCTCTAAGAGCTGTTTTAATCGTTAATATTTTGCCTATGATGGATTACCTAGACATTATCATTTTGCATGCAAATGCTAACCAAACCTCTAAATAGACTTACATTGTATTTAGAAGGGATATAGTTACGATAATGTTGTCAAGTAATTAAGCATGGCATTTTTGGATTTTGATATTGATTCACTCATAAGGCCTTTGCATCGGAAATAAAAACAGTTGTTGGCATGATGCGGGTAATGTTCTTCTTGTATAATTTATGATGACAGGATACTAAACCCCTAACTGGAGGGATTGTGCTTGATTTTCATATGATCAAGACATAATCTTCCGATCAGTTTAATTGAGATCTGGTGCTGGCATGTCAGTAACTTCTAGTAGTTCTTTGTTAATTTATGTTCCAAATGGTGAAATTGAAATCATACCTTCGTAAATTTTACAGACGCCATCACGAGTTGGTTGACCGTTATGGAATAACCGTTTCACAGATGATATCGGATATGTTCCTTATGTCGTAACTACAATACCCTTCCCTTTTCACGAATGTGACCTACAGAATTATACTATTTACCGGAATTGTAATAACATAAGCAAAACGACGGGTGCCACATGTGGAACAGGATCTGCTTACCCTTCCGGAGCACCTGAGATCACCCCCAGTTTTGGTGGGGTTCGTGTTGCTTAGTTTTTAGTTTTCTATGTTGTGTCATCTGTACTTTTATTTTTTGGCCATGGCCATGGCGTTGTCAGTTTGTTTTCGATCTATGAGTTTGACTGTCCCTCTGGTATCTTTCGTCCCTCTTTTATGTTGACCATTGTCATTTTGTATAGTTTCTTCTGTCACCTATTATAACATCGGACTCGTCCTAAGTTAGTAATCTCTAGCCTTTGTTGGTCTAGTGTGTTTTTAAAATTTTTAAGTTTTAAGTTTAAGTGTGGCGTCCATTTCGCTGAACTAGTATACATTATTGTTAGGGGCTAGCTAAAGCCCGCCTCCTGGAGCGGAATTTTCTCGCTGCGTTGAAGACCCATTAGTGGCCTTGGGCTGTTTTCTGCTCTTTGGTTGGGTTGTTGTCTCTTTGACACATTCCCTGTTTCCATTCTCAATTCTAAATAAACAGACTCAGCCTTTATAAAGTAAAGGAACATGAAAATTGATATTGTTTATCAATTTTGAAGGTATGACACACACCCTTGAATATTTTGCTTTTGATGACGATGACAAGAATCCTATGCCTGTAATGAATGGATCGATTCCAATGACAAAGGACGGTGATAATAGTACAGAAATTTACTTTTGTCACTACAAACCAATGGATTGTGGTAAGTAAAACTTAATCCTAATGCAATCATTTTGTATCAATGGTTCTGATTGGATGACAACAATCCTATGCCTGTAATTAATGGGTCGATGCAAATCACAAAGGACGGTGATAATAGTACAGAAATTTACTTTTGTCACTACAAACCAATGGATTGTGGTATGTAAAACTTAATCCTAATGCAATCATTTTGTATCATTGGTTCTTATTGGATGACAACAATCCTATGCCTGTAATGCATGGATCGATTCCAATGATGAAAGACGATGATAATAGTATAGAAATTCAATTTTTGTCACTATAAACCAATGGGTTGTGATCATTGGTTCTGATTGGATGACAACAATCCTATGTGTGTAATGAATGTATCGATTACAATGACGAAAGATGGTGTCTTGGAGTTTTGTTTTGTTAAACTTTTTTAAATACAGGTATGAATACTATTATTGGAATCTTTACTTTTGTACTATATATTTAGTTATTCAAAAAATAATCGAAGATATCAGGCTTATAATTAAGCACACAAGACGCGTTTTTCTTCTTCTTAGACTCATCAGTGGTGATCGAATCAAAATAGTTGTGAGGGCGAATTAATAGCAATGTTGAATATCATTAATATAAAAAAACCTAATAGTTGTCTAAAATCTGTCTAAGACTAGATGAACTTTAACAAGCAACCTTCGCTAAAGCTATAAAACTGTATCAGCTGAAATCTGTTGTTATTTGATATAAATCACCTAATGCTGGTTGGATAAACTGTCCATCTGCAGGTGTCCTAACTTGGAAAAACTAAATTTGAAACGTTACAAATTTCGTATTAATAGTAAAAACTTATTAAAGACACCAGGTTTAAAAACACAAAAACAAAAAATGTTGAGACTTTCACACAACATTTGAACAGTATTCGACCCCATTTATTGAAGAAGATCGAGTGGGTCAATACGGTCAAGTAAATTGTTTTGTTGACTGATGTTTACTTTGGCAATGGCGTTTTTCTTTTAGACTTATGATATACACTGCCGCTTGGTATTTTCAATAATACATTTTTCGATCTTGCAAATTTCTTAAATTTTACAAAATGAATCCCTGGTTATCTACATTTCTTATTATAGTATTTTTGATATCGAAAAAAGATAGAGATGAACAGTATATTTGGACAGGGTTTTGTAGCTTCTACATAACTAGCAACTCTCTATAAAGGCCGTCATGGTTGTATACACAAGCTATGGCCATCTGTGTCAGCTGCTAAATACATATATTATCGCAAGTACTGCGGGAAATGGGTCTACATAAGAACGGAAAGCTCAAAATGGAGAAAAAAAAATGAAATCATCTATCTTGTGGTATACCTTTTCGGAAATGAGCCATCCTTAAGTAAGACTGCTGTTCCCGGCAGATCTTATCAATTGAAACATATACTGTTGTATACAACTTACTTTTCTGATCCAAGGATGTGATGATGGGGATGGCAACACCGTTCTCGTTGGTAACAGAATAAAGAAAGGCTGTTCTTGGTTTACTTGCAAAGAGGAAGATGGCTTACGAATATTGACAGTGGATTCAGGTGGTAAGTAAAGGCAACAGTAGTATACCGCTGTTCGAAACTCATAAATCGATAGAGTTAAAAAATAATCCGGGTTACAAACTAAAACTGAGGGAAACGCATCAAATATAAGAGGAGAACAACGACACAACAAAAACACAACATTAAAATGTAACACACACAGAAACGAACTATAATATAACAATGGCCATTTTCCTGACTTGGTACAGGACATTTTAAGAAATCTTAAAAAATGGTGGGTTGAACCTGGTTTTGTGGCATGCCAAACCTCCCGCTTTTATGGCAACGTCAAACACAACACCAAAACGACAACATCACATGACAGGACCACAATACAAATAAATGGGAGAACATATAGGACAAAGAAACACACGAATAATAGCTAACAAAAGGTACTAGGCTTAAAACTCAACACGCCAGACGTGCGTCCCGTCCACACAAGACCAACCAGTGACGCTCAGACATGTTATTGATTCAAAATATCTATTTCGTACGAAACACAAAAACAGTCAATTAAACTGGAATAACAACATAGAAAAAAACCCCAAATAAATGGACAATTGGAATATCCTTCATTGAAATACTTTCAACGGTACGAAAACTAAAAGATATCTAGAAACATATACTACAAAGATATATATATATATCTACTATGTGTAAAATTCATACAGTTACATTATACTTATTATTTATCGGCTGCAAGACGAAACGCCGTTATAAGTTTTCAGTTTATGTAGAATTATTATCCCCGCGCACCATATTAATCTTAACTTTCTACACATTGTTTATTTATATGAAGCAAATGCACTGTGTCTAAACTACCCCGGCAAAAAATGTTTGGACTCGATAGTATCTAATGTCCGGCACGGTGACGGACAATCAACAGACAGAGAAAAGGTAGAATTTCTGTTTATTTATTTGTTTTTTAATGACATTGAAGAATAAACATACACATATAACTATTTTCGATTGTGTGATGTAATATTTTCTACAACCGTTCTAGATTAAAGGAGAAATGAGTAAAAAGGCACATGAAAATGGTGAATTGAGTGAACCTTGCTACGAATTTGTTTAATTTCTTTTTAAATTGTGCACATTGTACGGAAAGAAAAGTACGGAAAGAAAGATATTAACACAGAGATTGCATGGCTAGTCACTATGAGCACCTCAATTTTTGCATTTCTGTGCATGGAACGAAAGAAATGGGTCATGTCAAAATGGAAGGACCCTGTTTCGTCAATATTGTTTATTACATAAGGACTCGGTTTTGTCTCAGTATAGGACCCGGTTTTGTTTTGTTTTGAAACCACATATTTATGAAAAGCTACGTTAACACTGATCTGAACATTGCCCATGTGAATATGTGAGTCAAAAAGATGATATAAAGATGTTATTGCAATACAAACATGTCGTATTAAAATATATTTCCAACGGGATCTTTTCGAAATAAGGAGTAGACATTTTTTGAATGCAATACGTATTCTTTATTGAACTTATCTTCGAACTAAATTTAAATGGAAATAAATACTTTATAGCATGTACTTACATTAATCCCTTATGATATAAAAAAGAAGATGTGATGTGATTGCCAATGAGACAGCTCTTCACAAGAGACCAAATGACACAGAAATTAACAACTATAGGTCACCGTACGGCCTTCAACAATGAGCAAAGCCCATACCGCATAGTCAGCTATAAAAGGCCTCGAATTGACATTTGTAAAACAATTCAAACGAGGAAACTAACGGCTTAAATTATGTACAAAAAAAATGAACGAAAAACAAATATGTAACACAGCAACAAACGACAACCACTGAATTACAGGATCCTGACTTAGGACAGGTACATATATACGGAATATGGTGGGTTTAAACATGTTAGCGTGATCCCAACCCTCCCCCTTACCTGGGGAATTGGTGTAACAGTACAACATAAGAACGAATTATAAAAATCAGTTGAAAAAGGCTTAACTCATCAGATGGATACAAATAGAAATACATCTCACAAATGTTTGTTTATTTTCTATACTACTGTAATGATGTAAAAATAAGAAGATGTGGAATGATTGTGTTACCATATCAATTTATCAAAAGAGTAAGGATAGTATGCTTTACTACACTATACGCGATGTTTACAATATATTTACTCATTCGTTCATCCATTGACGGACAGTGAGAGAAAAAGATCCGTTTTGGAGGCCGTACTTTGACATTTTTATTTATTTCCATTTAAATTTAGTTCGAAGATAAGTTCAATAAGGTATACGTATAGCATTCAATGGTTTACTTTTACAAATTGTGACTTGGATGGAGAGTTGTCTCATTGGCACTCATACCACATCTTCTTATATCTATTAGAACGTTTTGGATATCTCAAATCAAAATGGTTGCCTCTCGAACGTGTATTTTATGTCCGCTTCGAAATACACAAGTTCTAAACTTCCCTATTAGAAACGAAATAATTATATCATGCCATGCTCTACGCTCATTTTAGCATGGGTAGTTAGGCATTATATTTGTCAATATTTTATACCTTGCTAACGCTTGGTTTAAAAATTTTAACAAATATAATGCCTACCTATGTTAAACTGAGCATTGAGCATGGCATGAACGAATTATTTCTTTTTATAAAAAAATATTGGTTTGCAACATTATAACGTCCAATATCTTCGTCTTCGTCTTCGTCTTCGTCGAACAACCTAAGTGGCAGTTTAGCCCGTGAAAATGACAATTAGACAATTTTCCATCAGAGACCAAATGACGTAAAAGTTAACAAATATAGAACTCCGTATGGCATCCAACAATGAGAAACACCCATACGGCATAGCAAGCTAAAGAAGGCCCCGAAATGAAAACTATAAAAAAAAACTAATGTGAAAACTAACGACCTGATTTATGAACAAAATAAAACACGAAAAACAAATACATGTATGATATACAGCAACAAAAGACAACCACCGATTTACAGGCTCCTGGATATGATACTGGCACATGCAGTATGGCGAGGTTGAACGTGTAAGCGCCCCCTCCCCCCCACAAACAAACAAGAAAAAAACTGGTATAACAGCACAACATATGAACAAAAATTCAGTGAGTTGAAAAAGGCTTAACTCATTTGATTACAGAGCCCCTATAGTAAATATGCGATTGGCGGCTGTCTCTGTTTTTTTCGTCGTTTATTAAATTTTATGATGGTATACGATATAGTTACATTATATCAGTGGCGGATCCAGGGGGTAGAGGGAGTACGCCGACCCCCCCCCCTTTTTTTTGGTGGCTAGAAATAATTATTTTATCATGTTTTTTACGATTTATAAATGATTTTTTTTAGCATAAAATCGTTACAAAAAGTTCCCCTTTCTACGTTCGGCGGTATAAAATCCGTTTATGAATACGCTCCTTTCAAAAATCATGGCCTCGGTCCGCCCTTGCATATTGATAATTTTAAACTTGACCAACGTGCTTAAATTGTAGAACATTTGTCAATGAACGATAATCATTATACAATGAAGAGATAAACCTATATATAATAGTTGTACTATATAGGGCAGTTGTTAACAACTTGATACTAGTGCATTAAAGAATTTGTTAATGTAAAAAAAAAGAAGAAAAAAAAAGAGATAAAACAACGTTTATTTATAAAATTACTAATCAAATAATCATCATTGCAATTGCCGGATGGCCTTAGACTATTATACTAACTTATATTTAGTATTATTGTAACAAGGAGGGGTAAACAGATTTATAACGCACTATTATTGTGATCCTTTGCGCCGCATGGAAATTCCTTTTCTTGGGCGATTCTGCATGCATATTCATTTTTCTTATTCTCTTGCTTTATAATGAACGTTTAGTTTCTGAATATTTATTTTCAAACGATCATACTGTCTCTCCCTTTAAGTAGAGCGGAACATATAGAAAACCATCTTGTTGTCCCAGAAAATCACATATAAAATGTGCGTCCTTAAATTTTCAAGGCCGTACACTATTTAAGTTTGAACACTTAAATTTACATAGTTGATATAAAAAAATCTAATTGCGTTACAAAACCGTCATTTCTTTTTCATTTTCCCTTTTTTTTTATACAAAACAAAATTGAGATTTGCTTTGTTCTAATATAGCAGGAATTCAAGTTTTTACGGATTCAAAAAGGTTATTTATAAGTTATCCTCTGAAAGAAAATGTTTTTCAACGATCCCTCAAACTGCTGTTGAACGCCATATTTTAATTTTCGTCATGCGATTATGCATTATTTTCTATGACAAAACCGGGTCTGCTTTGTGAAATTTAAGGACAAAACCGGGTCGTACACATTGACAAAACCGGGTGCTTCAATTTTGACATGACCCACTTCTTTCATTCCATGCACAGACATGCAAATATTGAGGTGTTCATAGTGACAAGTCTTGAAATCACCGAGTTAGTATCTTTCTTTCCGTACCTTTCTTTCCGTACAATGTGCTCAATTTAAAGAGTAATTAAACAAATTCGAGGCAGGGTTCACTCAATTCACCATTTTGATGTGCCTTATTACTTATTTCTCCATAAATCTAGAACGGTTGTAGAAAATATTACATCACACTATCGAAAATAGTTATATGTGTATGTATATTCTTCAATATCATTAAAACAACATATAAATAAACAGAATTTCTACCTTTCTCTGTCTGTTGATTGTCCGTCACCGTACCGGACGTTAGATACTATTGAGTCCAAACATTTTTCGCCGGGGTAGTTTAGACACAGTGAAATGGTTCATGTTTAAAACATCGCAAATTGAATTGACTTGAAATAGTAGTTGATATTATATATTATAAATGTTAATAGTTAATTGAAACACAAAATAATTATTATTCTATAAAAATACAAAATAATTATTATTCTATAAAAATACAAAATAATCATTATTGACTTAAATGTTTTTTTTATATAAGCTTTCTACCTTGGAGTAGAAATATACTGTATACAAATTTCACATTTATCACGATAAATTGGTTGCACGTGGGATTCTCTACACATTGCTTGCTTATTGTGTTTAAAGCTTTACTTTCAGATTCAAAATGTAAATAACACATTTATTTTATTTCAAATATCAGTAAATGTAAATACAAGAACTGAATGTTGTTTTTTTCTAATTTATTCTAAATGAAAGCAGGTGACTAATCAAATAAAAAGTATCTCAAAAAGATGATTTGTCATTCCTTTTATTTCGACCCCCCTCCCCCCCCCCCCCCCTGCAAAAAGGATTCAATTCTACAATGGAAATAATTTTTAAACCTATATAAACCAATTTATGTAAATGACAGAGAGACCAGCGAAAATTTCAGTTTTACAGTTTACCCCTTTGAAATATGGATACAAACATGCTAAACGAGACAGGCTCAAGAATTACTATAAGTTATCAAATTCAGTAACGTTAAGTTTTTCTCCTGTCATATTTTTATAATGTTAACTATGGAAAACTGCTTCAACAAGACTTATTATCTTAGCAAGAATTGTTAATACATTTTGTCATGTTATGATGAACTATTTGAAAGAATCAATTACCCATATTTTAGTTGAACGCTACTGTGTTTTAAGGTTGCATGGATGACAAAGGCAACTGTCGAAATGAAAGTGAAGTATGGATGGCTTCATATGGTGAAACATGTTATTCAAAGAGATGTCATAAAGTTGACAACGGGGTAAAAGTAGAGTTTCAAGTAAAAACAGACTACAGAGGTATATACATAAATCTTTCTATAAATTAAATATGTTACAATCATTTTGATAAGTACCAGGTCAGCCTGGACTATGAAACAGTTATTTCCAGCTCGCCCCATTGAAGATTGTTTTCACCAAACTTACTGTGGAGTTTAATACAATTGTCAATTTTTGCATTGGTAACATTTACTAAAATGATAACATGTAGAGATATGGTATTACGTAATTTCATAGCCGACCATACGGTATGGGTTTTTCTCATTGTTGAAGGCTGTACGGTTGCCTATAATTGCTTACATCCACTTCATTTGAAATTTGGTGGATAGTTGTCTCATTGGTAATCATACCACATCTCCTTATTTTATATCTATTCAATATTCGTCTATTAGGCTTATTTGAAATTCAGGTAAGCGGACTATTCTTGGAGTTGAGATGTTTGAACATCAAAAGAAAATATCAAATGTTTTTAGATTTAGCATTATTTTGAAAAAAAAGCCATTTAAATGTGCCTCAAATATTTTTTTGTGTGTAAAGGTTGCAAAGATGAAGATGTGTGTCGGCCACTTAATTATCATATTCAAAGGGGATGCTACAATTCAGTATGTACTGCCAGTCGAGGTTCACAAGATTGTCGTTTCCGAATGGTTAAAGCAGGTAAAGTAATGACAGCATTTTAAATTTCGTAGTTATTGCCTGGTTAACAAAAATCAGATTCCATTTTCATTTTGACTAAAAGAAATTTAAAAAATCTTGCATATGTAGTGAAGGATATTATGTTTGTAAAAATTATGTTTATTTTATAAGAAACATTTAATAACAGTGTTACTTGCCATGTATTTTGGCCGTAATGAGGAACATTTGTGTTTGCCAAAAACAAGCCGACGAATTATACGTTTCCTTTCGGACTCATCAAATTTACAAAGTGTTATTTTCACTTGATGATCAAAAACGACAAAAAAGTCATTTCACAACTTGTTTGTTCGTTATTACGTATTGGTTGATTTTAAAACTATACGAGTTACTCGAAGTACTGGTGATATGTTTGTTTTCTCTGTCATCGCTTCCAAAGGGCGACACCATATCTAACAACGTTACTGGGTTCGCCAAGTTCCTACTAGTGACATATGCAACTTGATATTACCTTGGATAAGTACACTGTGTTTATTGTCTGTTTGCTATTAGTACCGATTAGATGAGACAAGCGATTTTCACTTTTACTCTTATGCTGTGTTGTTTCACAACTGTCCAAAGCAAAAGGAAGGGTTGAGCACTAGTTAACATGTTTAACCCTAACACATTTTTTATATGATTATCCCATGGCAGGAGTCTGAAATCTAATTGTTGTTGTTGGTTGCTCTCTGTCATAATTGTTGTCTCCCTTGAAATCAAATGACATCTATTTTTCAGGTTGTAGTGATGGTAAGGGAAAATGTATTCCTATTGGTTCTGAATTTACCAAAAATTGCTTGACATACAAGTGTTCAGCAGCAACTACTAAATGCGGAATGAAATTCCTTCGAGGTGGTAAGTTTCCTCTCTACTTGTATTATAATGCAAATGTTTTATTATTGATGTATTATAAGAATGAATAATAACATTAATAGTACCAATTTCGCACCATATTCACATTTCGACAATTAACGTCTCTTCGGTGATGCTATTATAATGTTCTAGACCTTTAGTAAGTTGATTTTGGAAAATTACAAATTCGCAGTCATTTTTTTGTTCTTTTTTTTTTATCATAAAGGCTCTCCAGTTTTCATCGTTTCCTGTTTTGACGTTAATATTTTTTTTATATGGCAAACTTGTGTTGTCGACTTCACCTAAAAGAGTCAGTCACCAATGCTTCCTAAATGTTCATTGTTACATCTAAAAAGAGTCACCAATGCTTTCTAAATTTTCATGGTTACAATAAAATCTTTATTTTTATGGCCCCGCCGACTTATGTCGGGGCCGTATAGTGTTACCCTTATCCGTCATTCCGCAAAGAACAGTCGTACGGACTTTTTTTCCTAACGCCATTACATATTGAGGTGATTTTAAGGATTTGAGTCTACTTTTTGCATCGGCACTAAACACATTTATTTAAAAACCAGTTGTTGGCATGACACGGGTTATGTTCTTCTCATATATGTTATGATTGTATGATACTAAACCCCTAACGGGAAGGATTGTGCCTGATATTCATATGATGAAGACATAATCTTTCAATCAGTTTAATTGAAGTCTGGAGCTGGCATGTCAGTTAACTGCTAGTAGTCTGTTGTTATTTATGTATTATTGTCATTTTGTTTATTTTCTTTGGTTACATCTTCTGACATCAGACTCGGACTTCTCTTGAACTGAATTTTAATGTGCGTATTGTTATGCGTTTACTTTTCTACATTGGCTAGAGGTATAGGGGGAGGGTTGAGATCTCATAAACATGTTTAACCCCGCCGCATTTTTGCGCCTGTCCCAAGTCAGGAGCCTCTAGCCTTTGTTAGTCTTGTATTATTTTTAATTTTAGTTTCTTGTGTACAATTTGGAGTTTAGTATGGCGTTCATTATCACTGAACTAGTATATATATATTTGTTTAGGGGCCAGCTGAAGGACGCCTCCGGGTGCGGGAATTTCTCGCTGCATTGAAGACCTGTTGGTGACCTTCTGCTGTTGTTTGTTCTATGGTCGGGTTGTTGTCTCTTTGACACATTCCCCATTTCCATTCTCAATTTTATTAGATGAGTTACAGATCGAGTTTACGTTTCATACTGCTCTGCGGATTTTTGCCGAAATTACGAGTTTTGACTTCGAAAATTTCGTGATAATAACAGTTATACGGACTTTTCATTTAAAAGCCTTCAAATATTGAGCTGATTTTTATACGCCCGATTACGGGACGTATTATGATATAGCGTTGTCCATCCGTCCGTCCGTCTGTCCTTTCGTCGTCAACACTTGCAACAAAAATGCTTTGAACAATTTTCATGAAAATTTGGTTAATTGTTTATATCTATCGGCGTAAGCTCCCTTTCGATATCATAAATTTTAGATATTAAGTTTCTGATTTATGGGATTTTATTCATAAACGCTTTGAGCAGTTTTCATGAAACTTTGGGGACTTGTTTATATCTATTGAAACAAGATATTCCCCATTTCAAGTCTCAATTTTATTCCCCTTTTTTTATATAAATTTCTTATTTCTGATATGAAATTGTGGTGTTATGGAACTTAATTCGTTGAAAACTGTCCATTTTTCACACTTTGGACGGTTATAGAATGTTATTCGATCAAAAATCGAGGCCGCAAACTTAGTCAAACTTGAGGTAGCCTTAATAATGCCAAATTATTCATGTTTTGTGTCAATGGGTACAACTGTGTGTGCATCTTTTTTTCGTTTTTTCTTTTTTTTGGGGGCCGGGGGTGGGGGGGGGGGGGGGGGGGGGGTCTTCTTGAGCAAATTGAATGCTCACAGTATTTCTAGTTGATCATATAAATTCATTAAAAGCACGAAGACGGAATAAAAGGGTGACGGGCGTATCATGCGCTTTATTAGTTTGTGAGTCTACTATGATGAGTTACAGATCGAGTTTACGTTTGGTTCCGCTGCGCTGATTTTTTCCGAAATTACAAGCTTTTGACTTTAAAAATGTCCACTCCTAAAAATGGCTTCAAGCTTATTTTTGTGAGCGGGACCATTCGTGTCGTTCCGCCACATCTAGTTTTTGTATGAACTCATTGATAACCAAGCGTCGCATACTGTAAACCTGTTTACAATTAGTTTTATGCAATGAACACTGTTTTCATATTAAATGTGTTTCTTAAATTTAGCCATACCGTCAGCTAATACATAAGAAAAACTCCCTTATGCCAGAATGACCTATCGGTATAGCTGGTTCTTTCGATGTTAATAGCTATGGTGCAAATTTTTATCTAACTTTCAAAAACTTTTAGCACCAAATACAGTGATGCTTTTGAAATTCTTTTTTTATTGAAATTGTTAATCTATCTAATATTAATCAAGAAATTATATTTGCTAATAAAATTTGCAGTAAACTAAATATTTGACTTCAGTAGATACAACGCTAATAGAACAGCTGTATATAAATGACTATTTTAGTCTTGTTACTTGGTTTATTTGTAGCATGCAAGTATGACGGTGAATGTCATGCAGTTAATGCAGTGTGGCACCATGCCGCCTGCCATTGGTTAAAATGTACCATGACAAGGAAAGCGACTTCTGTATCATTCAACATTGATTCAGTTGAGCAAGGTAAGGCAAACACAGACCATTGTTGTATCAACTATATAGTTTAAGTACGTTTTCTTTTCCAACAGTCATATGAACGTGTAATAGCTGACTTTTGGGCTTCACATAAAACTCAAGTCGCTTTGCTAGGGTTAAGGATATTTTTTAATCAGTAAAGTAAAAGACCCAACTTGTGGAGCAAGGTAGTTACTGCTTTAGAACAAATCGTTTCAAATGTTCATAATGGTAAATCATACAGCGAATTTCTATACAACAGCTTACAAATTGTCAAAATGTCAAGTCTATTTCAATTTTATTCAACCTATTCAATACCAAATCTCAATAACTTCAATGGCTACTGGACATAAATATCTGTCCATTTCGAATCCGTTAGTCCTTCGAACTCAAACAAAGAAACTAACAACTCAGCACTGAATCTTTAAAGCAACCAATCAGGTTACTAGAAATCAAAATAACCATATCAATACCTCAATAATGTATGATAACGTTTCAATGTAATCAAAATTTAGAAAAGACAATATGTTCTGTAGTTTTATTTCACATTTACATTATTATACATCCTTATTTTAAAACTCCAATAGACACAAAATAAAGAGGCTATCACAAATGCATTCATCTAAAATTCATTCTAAATAGTGTTCCATATTTTCATCATCATTTCAAGACTCATAGCAACAAATGCAATGATGTTATTAGAGTTACCACCACGAAAAACCGAACAAGCAATCATTGATAGCCTGCACCATTTGCTATACTCCATTGCAGCGCTATATTGGTGAATGTGTAGTGGCTTGTACTAATCTTCAGAGTGATTTAGATTATTCAACCTCGGTCCTTAAAGTGTTGATTGCTTAAAGATGTTTTGCTAAAGGATCGTATTTAAATATTGCCGCTGATATTGTCAAGTTTTCTTTCAACTGTTCCTAGCGCGAACCATTTTATATAAAACACATTAGTTGATCTGCTTCTTTTGTGTCTCTTTGTCATCCCTTATAACGGCATGCTATGTATTAATTGGTATGTTATTTCCCCAAACGCCTTAATTCCCCTGTCGTAACAGAAGAGGACAAATTTGCGTTTAAGATAAATTATTTACATACCTCTCCAACAGAATAACGTTTCATCTTATGATCCAGTTTGGCATTAGTTTGGACATTTTGATTTCTAAAATATCTTCAAACTCAAACACACCACACCTCGCATTTAACCTCTTCTTATTGTTTGCTTAACGTCTAGTGGCAAGTATTTCATGCATGTTCAGGACGAGAACAAATCAACATGCATACAATAGGTAGGGCCTGTAATAGGGGTTGTCCGCGATGAAGGTCGGGAATTTTGGACTGCCACTAGAAAATGAGGGTATATTTGATAGGGACAGAAATTTAGCCTTGCAACAGGTTACTTACGGACCACCAAAGATTTGTTTCAATGGTTCTTAACGTGCAGAGCGTGTGGAACTCTTTCAAGACGAGGCATCGGATTTAACGTCCCCATTCTGACCCTACGGGGCTCCGTATTCATACATCCCGCATAGTAAAGGGACCCCCCACTTTGGCAAGGGTTTTACTGCCGATTGGAAGATCAGTCACCCTTGGGTGCCATCTCGAAATAAAAGTATGCATTGTTCAATAAAAGTGAATAATAAGAAAAAAAAAACGGAAAAGTAAGTGCGATGAGTAAACATACCAAGTGGTCAGTACAGAACGTTTCCGATTGCTTTCATGCTTTATATTCATAAGTTGAGAAAGATAACACTTTGTAAATGTTAACTTATTTTATACATACGTCTTAAGAATATCACTTGAATAACGAAATCCCTAGTGAATAATACTTTAAGGAACACTTAATGTAAGATATGTTATGCTTTCTTTCCAAGATCCCCTTATATTTTTTGTCAACAAAACCTGTACATTTCGAAACAAAATCTCCTTTCAAAAAATTATTAAAGCAATTTTTTTTTTAATGCTTTAGTTTCTATATATGAAGTATTATTATAAACAGTCCATTACTTTGTCATGCCAATGATATAAGTAGATTACGAAACCTTTTTAACGGTCGGAATTGACATTTCTGTCTTGTTCGCGATAATCACAACATGTTATACCAACAATATTTGCGAACATCTTTTTTGTAAAAGAAGATTTAACTCATGTTCAAATAAGGGAGCTACCAATTGATTTTTATAAGGGGGGTGGGGGCTAGGATAAAAAATTTTGTCCTGCATTTTTATTTAGTTGTAATCTCTATCCTGAAACATAAATTGTCATCCTGCCTTTTTTTTTTTGCCAAGTTGCTCATCCTGCCTTTTTTTTACTCAAAACTCTTTTTTTTTGTAATTTCATCCTAGCCCCCCCCCCCTTCCCTATAAAAATTAAATGATAGCTCCCTAATGTAAAGTATTTGACAAGACCTTGTCTTAAAGGCCTTCAAAAATTACCATTACTGTTATTAATTGCAGAAAGCAATTACAAAGAGAAATGCTATAAAGCTGGTGATAAAAAGTTAAATCACAAAAATACTGAACTCCGAGGAAAATCCAAAACGGAAAGTCCCTAATCAAATGGCAAAATCAAATGCACAAACACATCAAACGAATGGACAACAACTATCATATTCCTGAATTGGTACAGGCATTTTCTTATGTAGAAAATGGTGGATTGAACCTGGTTTTATAGCGCTAAACCTCTCACTTGTATGACAGTTGCATCATATTCCATTATATTGACAACGATGCGTGAATAAAACAAACAAACATAATAGGTAAAAGTGTCAAAATAGGGGTACAGCAGTTAACACCGTGTCACAATCTTAATCACAACAAAACCAAACAAATATTTAACAAAGAAGCACAAAAAAGCAAATATCACATTTAACAACCTCGTTCATTGCTTACTTATTTTTGTATTTTATTTATGTATGCCAATTCAACTCATAAAGGATCTAGGGATTTTAAGCACTGTGACCGAATCGTAATTTTAACATTAACCCCGGCGTAGAATCGCGTGTTTGACGTCAGAATGTAAACGTCACACAGGTAGAGATATACAATAATTTTGTCGTTCAAAGTATGCAAAAATTATAATAGAACAATAACAAAATGGCGGGATGTTTAAAGTACAGAGTCACGTCAAATGTATATCACCAAAAACAGACCAAACAGTAAAAGTAATATAAATAAAGATAAATAAAAGAACACTTAAACACGTTATTAAGATGATAAACAGCGTCAGTACGCAGAATCTATACTTCAAGACCATCATGTATTATTTGTGAAGTTGATACGGAATATTTATCAACAAGGTCTTGGTACCTTCCGATGAACTTTTTAAGAAAAAGGACGAGACGTTTTTTGACATACCCATGGTTCATCAACTTTCTGCTCAGACACTGGTGACGTTTAAGAAAGTCTGAGTAGGAGCTGCAAGCTCTTGCATACCGAATAAGTTGGGAAATGTATATCCCATATGTAGGTGAAGTTAGTATATTGCTACTAAGGTGGGGGAAATTGATAATTTTAAAATTAAAATCGTCTCGTTTGTCATAGATTCTGGTACTGAGATGACTGTGTATGTCAAATTCGAGGTATAAGTCTAAAAATGAGGCGGAGGGAGCCGTGTCTGTTGTTTCTTCAAAAAAAATTACCATTACTGTTATTAATTGACAGAATGCAATTACAAAGGGAAATGCTATAAAGCTGGTGATAAAGTGAAGGAAGGATGTTCCTCGAAACAATGTATTATTGATAAAGAAAAGAAGGTCGCTTATATGAGCACAGTTGCTGGAGGTACATTAAACATTTTGTAGATTTTATTTGTTTCTATATGAATACTATTGATAATTATACGGGGAATCAATGTCTATAATAGATCTTGTAATTTTTTTAACATCGGGTGTCAGAAGCTACATGTCATTAAAATGTTCAAGTTTGCAATACTAATATTTATCTTATTTCATATTTTAATACTATTATGTTATCTTACTAATATTTTGATACTTATATGGTATTTTACGTCAGCAAACTGAATGTCGTGCGTGCCAGTCGACAAAAATATATTTAGGAATTATTGTAACGAAAAGTAGAAGATACTGCAAGTGAAATAACGAAATTAAAAAAAAACACCACTATAACCTAATGATAAAAGACACAAAAGACAAACGGTAACTCGTAAATTATTGAAATAAAAATAAGCATTCATAAAAAAAATTGGTCGATGAGTTAATTTATTGTTACCATCAAAATACAAACACTAAATCTAATATCTTAAATGGCGACTACATTTATTTCGAGGATTAACTGTTCTAAAAACACCATTATTATCATTGATAGAATGTGCATACAATGGCAAATGCTATAAGGCTGGAGACAGAGTTACAGAAGGATGTTACACAAAACAGTGTATCTTTGATATAGATAAGAGGGCTACTTACATGAATATCGTTGATGGAGGTATCTTAATATATGAAGCGGTGTTAAACAGTTTAAAAAATTCATTTTTTTCATTTTTTTTCCAAAATTGTATTTAATGATAAGAGATTTTTAAACTTTTAACATAAATACAGGCAACAGCAGTATACCGCTGTTCGAAATTCATAAATCGATTGAGAAAAAACAAATCCGGGTTACAAACTTAAACTGAGGGAAACACATCAAATATAAGAGGAGAACAAAGACACAACAGAAACACTAAAATGCAACACACACAGAAACGAGCTATAAGATAACAATAGCCATTTTCCTGACTTGGTACAGGACATCTTTTAAGAAAAAAATGGTGGGTTGAACCTGATTTTGTGGCTAGCCAAACCACCCGCTTTAATTGCAATGTTAAATATAACACTAAAATAACAACATTACATAAACTCTTTCATTGTATTATTTTCTGTTTACGAAGAATTTTGTATTTCTTTGTTTCATAAATAAACATCTCATCATGCATTCACTACAAGTAACTAAAAGTACACAATAGGGTATGTATCATATTAGACTCAGTTTGATAGGACGTTGCAATGTGAGCCGGAATTATGCCAACGATTCGTCCAGCCAAAATTAAGAAAACAATATGCTTTCAGTAAAATAAACTGACTGTAAATTTTCCTATTTTTGATTATAACATTTTGACTGAGTGTTGATTTACACTCTTGATTCGTCCCTAATGTAGTTCATGCAGTTCCCTAAATGTTACATTGTCGTGTCTGTTTCTCAAGTTGTTGCACTTGTTGAAACTGATATTTAATTTCTATAAAACGATTCAAGTGAATTATTTTAACGATACCATTAGAATTACTTATCTAATCATGAGTTGTCATAATAATTTTAGCATTATAACATTTCCGGATAAACTCTCTATTTGATAATATGACTAAAAAGAAATTTTTGAGTAAACATCAACGAGATTGCAATCCTTAAGACACCAACAACCTACAGTCATCTGAAGGTTGATATACAATATTTAACAAAATACAAGTTTTTATACAATATGTCAAGCTTTTAATCGCTTCTAGAAGACAAAAGACGTGAACAAAAACATAAGGAGATGACCTTATTGCAAACGTCAACCTTTATAGTTTTGTTGTTTTTAAAACTATACTTTGAATGTAAATATATATTGAGTGAAAAAAATGATCTACAAGAATAAAACCAGAAAAAATGGTCAGAAAGCCTTTCAACAAAAATATTCTACCATAGATACAAAAAGCTGAACATGTATATATTTTTTGATTGTTATATAATACACTGATTATCTTTTATTCGAATCTAGGTTGTAAGTTTAATGGAAAATGCATTGGTGTTAACATGACTTGGAACAGTGGATGTACAGAATACACATGTCGTTGGTACAAGAATGGTTTCCGTCATGTTTTCAAACAGGAAGTAAAACAACAAAGTATGTTTTAATATATGAAATGATATTTTCTCAAATTAACAATATAGCGATCGACTGATAGTTGTTAGCTTAACTTCCAGAAAAAAAATATATTCCTTGCATATTCAGGCCCTTAATGCTTTAACAATTAGTTCAATAATTGAGTTCTGCAATGCTGGTATGTCGGCAAGAAAATAGCAAAATTAGGCATACCAATGCACTGAAAAAAAAGGATTTGTCGAAAGGAGGCAAGGATCTCCTTGCATTGCAGTATTAATATGTAAATGTATGATAAACCCGTTTTCTTATATTGCCTTTTTTCTTCACTACCCGTAGTTCTTTTTATGCAAATTGAAGTATAAAACTTCTTCAGAATACATATACAGTGTAGTATTGGCTGATGCCTCCAGATTGTTAAGGTTTGAACGGAGAAGGTAGATTTGAATTTTTGATTGGATGTTCATGGAATCAAAATAATGTATGATATAAAGGTAATTACGTAAATAGATCATTTTTGGATCTCTGAGAGTGTTACCTTTCATTTTGCGCATAAAAGTGTTTGAGGCTAAAAGTCCCCAAAACGTGTGATATGACTTCAATGCTAACAACATGTGCCTCTGGAACAATTTTCACGATTAAAATCCAGGGAGGCGTTATAACCTAGTGGTTATCACAATTTCACCAATCATGCTTCCATCAAAGCAAAGGTACCTTAGCTGATGGGCATATAAATAAACTTGCAATGTTCCAAATGAACTATTGTGACAAATATAATTTTTTGCAGTCAAAATATAGCTAATTCTGATATTAACTTTGATCAACGCACATGATAATTTAGAGTTGTACAGTGGAGGTGGTTGTTAGAGCTGCAATGCTATCATTTTTTTTTATTTGAACCTTACAATTAATCATTCGACTTATATGATGGGGGCTACTTATGAGGAATTGGTTGTATATTTAGTACGGTGCTTTAAAATTTCAGACTCTACTGTGTGTGAGCGATTATCAATTCTTCTGTTGTGAGTTTACTAAGAATGACATTGCTTGCAGCTTCTTTTTCTTGATTAACCTTAAGTTTAACTTTAAAAAAGAACAGGCAACTAAATTGGGCGGTAATTAATTCAAAGGACATACAAAAATCCTCAAAATGATCCAGTTTCGTAAATGGTTTACTTTGATATTACATACAACAGCTATTTTATGTTAATATCGGATACTTTCCTCTAATGTAAGTTTCCTAAGACTTTTTTGCATATCAAAATGATTATCAATGTTTTCCTTTTTTACAATCGAAAAAAAACTAACAGAACTTTTGACATTCAAGGATTTTAATTACAAAGACCAAGACATTTTTTATATCAGTTGTTTTTATATTTTAGAATGTCGGTTTCAAAATGATTGTGTTGAGGAAGGTGCTTGGAGAAAATATGGTTGTGTTGATTATGAGTGTAGTATTAAAACGACCGACAAAGCACAATATGCTTCAATGAATCCAGTTACTTATGGTAGGATTCTTAAACAGACACTATAGCTTACAACGCGGTATGGGTTTTGCTCATTGATGAAGGCCGTACGGTGACCTGTAGTTGTTAACTTCTATGCCATTTGATCGCTGGTGTAGAGATGTCTCATTGGCAAAAAAATCATAACACATCTTTTTATTTTTACAATTACAATATATTGGGTGAACAGGTTTCAGTATACACTGCTAATATATGAATACACTTTATAAAGTTCAAGCGTCCGAAGCACTTTTCTGGATTATCTCCATCAGAATCCCTAGAATTGAACATTTGAAAGTCAAGATAAGTATAAGTACGTAGAAACATGAAGAGCTATATGAACAAAAGGGATATAGAATAATAGCAAAATCCATTGAAGATCAACTTTGCACAATGGGGTTGAATCCTTAGATTTTTTAATTTTTTAATACAATGTAATTTCTTAATTTATCAACGGGACACTTTAGAAATGTTAGTTTTGAATCATGTCCGTTCCGATGCAGGAATTACTGAGCTGATGGTACATATATAGAATTATATTTCAAACGAATATGTTAATTAGGCAAATACAAAAATCACAAGTTTCTTTCACAAGTATAAAATTTGTTGATTTAGAGAAAAAGTGATACAGGTTTGGTGTTTAAACTTTCATTTAATTGATATTACCATCTTATTGACAACTATACAAACTCATAAAGATACAAGGCATATAATATAGTACGTCAGATTCACGTTTTATCTACACCAAACTAACGGGTGGCTCTCGAATCAAAATATTCAGAAGGACAAATTAATTATGAAGTTTTTTCATTAAAATAAACAGTACGTAAATATGCAGAAAATGACAGCAAAAATGAAACGGAAAAGCATATTCATGACAGCTACTAACGTTAACCGTGTTAATACTTTTCGATATTTTTAAATAAGTATTTCAATTCTGTCCCCTTGTAATCCATTCTATTAAGATATAATGCAACCAAGACGGTTTTCAATCTGAATATCAACCACTTCGTGAGGTTAATTAAGTATTAGAGATATCAAAAATTTGATTTGTGAATGAACATGATTTTGTGATATTATTTCACATTTGTTTGCTATAAAAATCTTTTCGATTTCAGATTGTTTTATTACAATTTTGATATAAAGAACCATTGAACATACCTCATATAATAATATGCGGCATCTACATTAAGAATATGTACAACAGACTGAAACCTTTTCCTGAAAAAATAGACAATACTGGTTATTCAAATCGCAATTGCTAAATGAAATACTTGTCATTACTTATAAGGACACACAATTACAAAATATTGCGTACCGTTATGTAGTTAGGTATTGCAAGGCATTTTATGTTACCCTTCTAAAACTATTTGTTCTGAATAAGTTTAACTGAATTTGTTTCAACAATCCCAATAAGTTCCACAATCAGAAAATTAATGAACTACATTCATTCTTAGAAACCAATAAAGGATATTGGAGTTTGGGTATGAACATTTAAATAAGAGGGACGAAAGATGCATATGGAATAACTAATAAGTTGATGACAAAATGACAACGACATTAGAAAACGAAAAACGACCAAATTACAAACAACAGTATACAAAACACAACATAGAAAACCAAAAACCGGGAGTGATTTCAGGTGCTCCGGTAGGGTAAGCAGATCCTGCTTCTCATTAGGCACCTGCATAATTGAAGCACATCATGATATAATTTTTTCTACGTTACACTTATTTTATAGCCTGTAAAGATAAAAACGGGAATTGCCTTGCCATCAATGAAGAAATAGAAGAGGATTGTTCACTCTATAGATGTGAAAGCCAGGCAAACAGCAAATTTCCACAGTTGGAAAGAGTTGGAGGAGGTTGTACCATTAAAATTTTTAATAGATATAACTTATATATATATATATATAAAACATTGATTATTATGTAGATTTGTTTTAAAATATATAAGTCCGGAAATTTCAATTTCAAAATAAAATTTACAGACAAAAGTTAGATTCTAATATAAACAAAAAGAGATTTTAAACATTTTACTTCATTTTTGATAGGTAAAAGTGCGATAAAAAGCCCCAAAAATGATTTGGGTTAAACTTTTTACGATTTGTAAAATTGATTTTCCGAAAATCTTCCAATCGAGCGGAGATACAATTAATACTACTGAAAAATAATAAATATTCATTGCTTTAAATAATATGAGAATAGATACAGTGCAAATGAGTTTAGTCTGTGTCATTTGGTCTCTTGTGGAGAGTTGCCTTATTGGAAATCATGACACATCTTCTTATTTTTATATTTAATACTAGTATATATTAATCCCTCCATACAAAGTTTCGGTAATATATTTCTTACTTGTTAAGCAGGATGTAAAGTCAATGGTGTTTGCAAAGATGAGAACTCAGTCTGGACTGAAGAAAGTTCCTGCGTTGATTATATATGTGAACGAGAGAAGAGAAGTGGTAACACAATTTATATGGTACAAAGACCAGTAAAAGTTGGTAAGAATACCCATGTTACTTACATTAGCTTCGAAGCGAAATACTCATTATTTTAATGCTCATCTATATTAAAATATGCTTTGAAATACAATAGTTATGACACAATATAAATAATGAGGCTACATAAACATACATAAGTAAAATATTTCTTTTCCTATGTTTAAATACAGAGGTATAGAAAAAATAGTTTAATGCTTAATTTTCATTTCTTCAGTCAGAAAATTTAACTATGCTATTGATCCATTTGAAGTGGTATTTAAGTTTTTGTCAATCGATTCTGATGTAAATTAAATTGCATCTTAGCTGATTTTAATATACACAATGATTTGTTAGAATATATGACTTCTTTCGTTCTAAAAAGGTTGCCGCCATGATGGTATATGTCGTTACAATGGCGAGAAGTGGCCATTAGCCAGCAGACCATGTTTTCAAGTAGAATGTACAGTAACCAAAACGCCTGGCAGCCCACATAATTTTAAACGACTACTAAAGACATCACCAAGTGGCAAGTGTTCAATATTCATTGTTTTATTTGATGTTAATGTGTGTAGCACATTTTAGTTATGCTCTACAAGTTTTCGTATTTGTAAGAGTGGTTCACCGTTGTTTAGTTACAGTGTTGTGAAATGTGAATTTATATTCTGTTTACGTCAAATATTAATTTGTTACACATATTTGCTCATTGACAACCAAGGGTTCTCAACGAACAGTACTGACGAAAATTTAATGATTTACGACATTTTATATTTTCTCGACTTTGAAAATTCCGAGAAACCTTAATAGTTAAATAAATAATAATAATAAATAAGTCGTGGTATCAGCAATTCAGCCACGTTAAACGTCATAAAAAGGATTAAAACTATTTTCACTATTTTTCACAAATTACAGGAAAACGGAAATTTAAAAATAGTCCGTATTTTTTAAAATATTATCTTTTTCAGCGTCTCCAATAAAATGTTTCTGTAATACAGCTTCTATTGTTTTCTATGCATTTTCCCTGGCTTTAAACTGTTATGGTTTGAGCGTTCCTGATGAGGGTAAATCTAGAAAAGCCGTTCGGACAAACGAATTCATATTGTGTTATTTTTACCATCTATTGTCTTTTTTAAGTAATTAAAATGCATCTTCATGTAACTGAATTTCAATTCACAAAACTATTGATTGCATTATCCAACAAATGATCTCTTGATTTCTGTTCTAACCTTCAATTTAAATTGTCGACGAAGTAATTCTTTACATCCAATCATTTTCAAGAAAAGTTATAAGCATGGTATAAAGGAAGGTATATCTTAATTATATACAGACACATACCATGTTTTCTACACAATATGCAATGCAAGTTCGTGAAAACTTAATAAAAGCAAAAAGGATATACCAAAATTAATAGATTGTCTTAAAAACTCAGAGGTATTGTCAAAGATACTGGCTTAGTTTGAAACAATTATCAAAATAACATATATTTGTTATTAATCTCTTTCTTTCAGGATGTGTCGTAAACGGAATATGCCGTGAATATGGATACACAAACTATGTTGGATGCATACAATATAAGTGTCAGTGGGATGAATTAAGACGAATGGCAACATACAAATATGTCAAAGGAGGTATGGACTGTTTTATTCTTTAACATTTCTAAGTCACTTTTCTTTAAACAATATTAGATGGATATACGTATGGCTGTTTAACATCTAGTGGCAAATCAAATGCCGGATTTTTAACGTGCTAGTTCACAAGGTAACAGCGGTAGGAAGACATGTCCCCCTACCCGGACACCCTATTTTAACTCTGAGCCGACCAGTCTTTGCTCTTTCTCCTAAATATCCGTGCTTGTCGGAGAAGCAGTAAATATCAATTTTAAAGTATTTCGATTAACCTGACCGGGGATCCACCCCACTATCTCCATCACTTGAGGCGAGCACGCTTAAACAAGACGACCGAGGCGGTAAACAATATTTCATTAAACATGCCTCTACAACTCATAATACATAATGCTTTTCAAAATATCTGGTTAGTTCTTACTCTGTTAAGTTTGTATCTTATGTCTGAAGCTTTTATACGTGTAAATAGTTCATGTTTAAGTAAAAGTTCACATTATTTGTAGTTTTGTTTTTTAGTTTATGAAGTGCCTTGGTGGCCAAGGTGTATATGTAGTCCATCTACAGCAATTACTAGCCTGTCAAACATTGTGGTTGAAAGTCGACCTTGCACGTAGCAGGTGTGGGTGTTTCGATTTTTTTTTACTACGATTACTAGTTTTTCTGCCGAAGGCCATAGTTTTCTCCGGGTACTCCAGTTTTCTTCATCAATAAAAACGATTGCCAAGATGTAGCCAATAGTGCTAAACGTGGCTTTAAACTCGATCAATCTTTAATTTATCATCCAAGTACTGTAGGTGTAGGATACGTACGTTGTTCTGTAGTATATATTAGTTAATCATATATCGTGTATAGTATACGTAGTAGTTATTGATGGCATTTTGAATGTATCATTAAAAGTGTTTTTGTTTTTCCTTCATCTGACAATATTACCAGTTTAATCATATTCCATGTCGTAAAACTTGACGCATGATATAAAACTGGCTTCGGTTTACTATGTTATGGTAGAGCATATTCGAGTAACTCAATATGATATCTAGTCTCTCTATTTATTATTATACCCCTTTCAGTAAAACTATATAATTCAGTAAGTATTTCAGCTGTTTTGGTTACCAGTGCACTCTATATTTATGATTTTATAAAGATATCGAATAATTAAGTTATTACTGCTGTTAACTATGGAAGAGTTTCTCTGATTTATATTGAGGGCTGGTTCAGTAATTTGATTTGTGTCTTATATCTATCCTTAATAATCCTCCTTTTATAATGTACAACATCACAGTCCTAGTAATCTATCAAATATAGTATTTTTCTGGTTCCTAACGAATGAGAAAAAAGAACTATCACATTTATATATATATATCGTAATGGAAAATTCAATTTACCAAGAGTACATTAAGTCCACGACATAAAGATCTTGTTATTATCTAACTTCATAGTGATCAGAGATATTGAATGGTGCCAATGAGGCCCACACGAAACAGTAAAGCTTTACATATTGATCTGCTGATGTTTTGTATTAACAATTCTACAAACGAACATAAGAGATGCATCTTGCTTGCAATACACGTCAATACACATATTGAAAACCTTTAGCAGTGTAATGGCTTTTATATCTTTTTACAGCTCTTCTCACCAGTTCAGACTGAAATTCCTATACTCGGTATAGATATAAACAAATTAGATACATTTAATTAAATATACTAGTTGAGCTCACGATAATAATGATCCTTTTCTGTGAATAATAAAAAAGAACCAAACAAACAAACAAACAAAAACAACGAAATAAATTGATTCAGAATCTATTATCACATGAACGTTTCACTTTTTTCGAATTTGGCTTTAGTTATTCGTGGAATTATCAATATGTACGTTGAGACCAACAAACCATCTCTTAATACTTATCCTCAATACAATACCTATCCTCAATACAATACTTATCCTCAATACAATACCTATCCTCAATACAATACTTATCCTCAATACAATACCTATCCTCAATACAATACTTATCCTCAATACAATACCTATCCTCAATACAATACCTATCCTCAATACAATACCTATCCTCAATACAATACTTATCCTCCTCAATACAATACCTACATGATGCCTATCACCTCAAACATTGATATGTAAGTGAGTTGTTTATATTCCCTTGCGATGATCATGGTTAAAATGTGACCAAACCGTAGACCTGTTTATATTCCCTGGTGATGATCATGGTTAAAATGTGACCAAATCGTAGACCTGTTTATATTCCCTGGTGATGATCATGGTTAAAATGTGACCAAACCGTAGACCTGTTTATATTCCCTGGTGATGATCATGTTAAAATGTCACTAAACCGTAGACCTGCATTAACGTCGTTAGGTTCTTACTGAGGATACCATACCGAATAATTATGTAATAGAATAACCGTTATAAACAAGGTATATATGTTCTTCATTAAAGGTTGTAAAGAATACACAACTTCAAACTGTCATGACGTTGGCGCAGAATGGACTGAAACCTATGGAAAAACAACATGTTTGAAGATGAAATGTAAAAAGTCAGGCAACTCATTCACTTATGATGTGGGCTATTGTAAGTATTAAATATGACCATACGTCAAAAGGGATAACAGGAATCGCCTAAAATCCTGTACAGTACAACAGGCGACAAAAGGGAAAAACAGAGACACATAAACAAAGACATACAACAACGAGTTATACAGGCACAACATTTTTTTCCAGTGTTTTAGTTCTATTAACAACATAACAATAAGAATAGTGAAAATATTAATTTTTCACGAGAAACCCCATATTTACAAATAAGGCTGATGCTGATACCGAATGTAAAATGTTTGTGAGTATTTAAAAGTATGTGGTATTTGTAACTCTGTAAATACAACTTTTGTGTTGATTCAAATTTATTTTACATTAAGTAGAACATATTCAAGCAAACAGTAAGAGTCGAGAAATGCATATGATGCAGCAACGGGAACATCTAAATAGCAATCATCACAGAACTCGACGTTTAATAATATTTCTTTTACAGTGTGCCAGGACGCTGATGGGTATTGTGTAAACCCAGGACAAAAATTTGAAGCTTTAGGATATAATGGACAGAGGCGTACAAATTGTTACTGTAAACAAAGTGGAAGTCATGTTTCAACCGTTTGTAGCTCCAGTCATAACTATTGATATGATTACAAAGCAATATTTATGTGAAAGTTAAATAAAGTAGGGTGGAAAAATCGTCGTGTTTTTTAAATTTTTTCTGACATAATCAGACATTCGTTTATGTTTCATATTATTTGTCAATTTTTTCTGTATTTTGTCATTTCTTTTTCTTTTTCCTTGTTGGGTATTGTCTTTATAGTTTATAAATTTGTTGAAAAGATTATTTTACTAGTAAAACAAAGGTTTGCTTTTAATTTGGTTTTACGTTTAGTTGTATGTTTCTTTGTTGGCTATTTCACGTCCATCTTTTTATGCTTCGTTTAATTTCATGTAAAAGGGTACGGATTTCCTGATAGGAATGCTTCACCTGACATGCATTTTCATAATTATATCCAGTAGCATGTTCAAAGTAATGAACACGAAGAAACTGGTAAAAATAAAAAAACAATGAACAAAAGTGGATATGTTGAAAAAAAAACCAGGTACCTCTATGAAAAATTGAAAAAAACTGTAAAGGTAATATTCTAGTTATGACGAACGTAGAACGTGATATAATTTCAGTTTTGTTTCTAAAACAGGACTAGTTTTTTGGTCCTGAGTATACACGTGTTAGTTATAAAAAGAATATATCCATACATATCGTGGTGACTGGTGTACCAATATTAAAGAGATACATATGGATATGTGGTTTGGTTGCCAATAAAACAACTCCAGTGACCAACAGATTTGAATTGTAACAGAAAAGAAATGATATGAGGTATCCATCCATGACACAAAATCAGTATATGCAAAGCAAAAAACACTTATAGCAAAGGAACAGCGCTTTTATTGCTGTTCTTCACCTCAAAGTCACAATGAGGCCTTCAACACCTTTATTATTCATAATTAATTTTTATGTTATATGTAATCTTCTAGGAGACTCTAGTTCAAAATCTGTTAAGAATGTCAAAAATTCAATCTGAAATAACTTTAAAACTTCTTATCATACAATAGGCAATATGTGTGGAATGTTTCCAACCGAGATACTTTTTTTAAAAAGAAAATTAAAACAGCAATTTTTAAAACAAAGCCATTGGATTTGATTTTGTTTTCTGTTGTATTTTTCTTCCAACTTAACGATACTTGTTTGATTGTTTTTTTTTATATCGTCCACTAGAAAATAATTCATGCATATTCAGGTCAAAAACTAATTGAAAAATAATCAAAAGTGTTTTACCTATTGTGTCTGTTTGTTTTGTTCACGCATCGTTGTCAATATAATGGAATTTGATGCGACTGTCATACAAGTGAGAGGTTTAGCTAGCTATAAAACCAGGTTCAATCCACCATTTTCTACATAAGAAAATGCCTGTACCAAGTCAGGAATACGACAGTTGTTATCCATTCGTTTGATGTGTTTGAGCTTTTGATTTTGCCATTTGATTAGGGACTTTCCTTTTTGAATTTTCCTCGGAGCTCAGTATTTTTGTGATTTTACTTTTTATGTGGTTTATGATATTAAAAGGGTAGGGAATGTAAAAAGCCACTGAACAGAGGGTATATTGGATGAGGTTAGAAATTTTGTCAAGAGACCCCTCAATGAGCGGCCTTTTTATATTTATTAGTAATAGTTAGATGAACAATATAAAAATCGAAGAAATCTAGTTGGTCGTTCGTGCATAATCGAACTCAGAATGAAATAAAAATAATACTAAACTATACACTAACATGTTTAACCCCGCCACCTTGTGTATGTGCCTGTCCCAAGCCAGGAGCCTGTAAATCAGTGGTTGTCGTTCGTTGCTGTAAATCATATTTGTATTTCGTTCATTTTTTTTTAACATAAATCAGTTTACACGTTTGATTTGTTTTACATTTGTCATTTCGGGGCCTTTCACTGCTGACTATGCGGGATGGGTTTTGTTGAAGACCGTACGTTGACCTACAGTTGTTAACTTCTATGTCATTTGGTCTCTTGTGGAGAGTTGTCTCATTGGCAATCATACCACATCTTCTTATTTTGATATTAGACGGTATCACAATTAAATATTTATCGACAATTTTGATAACGCAAATACACAATACATATAAGAGGTAGGCTAAGCTTAGTGTTTACGCCCCGGATTACCCTTCTAAACGAACAATGACCTTCACACCCGTGAGTTTGTACTTCACTTTCCGTCGAAAAGCTGTGGAAGTAAGTTAACTAGTCTATTGTCTAACAATGATGAATGGTAATAACCGACTGCTAATCTTATAGTTTTAATTCCTTTTTAGAGGAATCTTAAATTATCATTCGAAGTGCAAAGGAGAATTTTAGAAATACTTTTGCCTTATGGAATGTTGAAATCCTAAGGCTGTAAATGTGAAAAGTACAAAGGAATAATTAATGTAGAAAACTTTAAACAAAATACTTTTAAATCATCGAGTATTATCTTCACTATACAATTAATCATTCTTCTTTTTACCAATAAACATAATTAGAGATTTCTAAAAATAATATTATTACATTAATTTTTAAATGAAGGGAGTAAAATTATTGAGTTGCTTCCCGTCATCCACGTTTTAACTTTTAGACAATATTGAAAAAAACTGAAGACACAAAGGGACATTGAAAAAACAGAAGACACAAAGGGACATTGAAAAAACTGAAGACACAAAGGGACATTGAAAAAACTGAAGACACAAAGGGACATTGAAAAAACTGAAGACACAAAGGGACATTGAAAAAACTGAAGACACAAAGGGACATTAAAAAAACTGAAGACACAAAGGGACATTAATAATCATTAGTCGAAGAAAGACTGACATACCATGGTAAAATATGTAAAAAAAAATATCAAACAAACAACAGTCTACAAACTATTACATAGAAAACTAAAGACTTAGTAACTCTGGAAGGTAGATCCTTCTCCACACAGTCTACAAAACATTACATAGAAAACTAAAGACTTAGTAACTCTGGAGGGAAAACGGTACTATTTATTCTGCCATAGGCGACAATACTAACATTTTCTAAATTTACCACTTTTTATAATAAAAACCCCGATAAAACAGTTATGTGTGGTGTTAGTACTTTATTATTCTGTTTTGAAAATTGAAGCCAAATAGTATCATGACCAACTTCCAATGGAGCTTGTTAATGTTATCCATGCCCACCGTCATTTTACACCAAATTTATGAAATTTTTGAAGTCTTTTCGAATAATTCTCTAGAAAATATTTCAATAGGTTTCAAAATTTATATTGTAAATATACACACTGCAGTTATTCATAGATAAATAAAAAAATATATTGTACCCTAACATCCAATCACAGCGCTCCTAAGTTGACTTCCTTCACCTGCCTTGGGTACACAAAAGACCAACCTAATGCTGGGAAAATGTAATAGTACCGTTTTCCCTATACTGTGACATAAAGATATAAAGAATTCTTTTGACACCATTAATGCAATACTGGGTTATTGTGAAAACCTTGGCTATAATAAATACTTGTATGTTCCCATTACTTAAAGAAACATGGATCATTTAATGTCCCCACCCCTACATGCTGGTTTACCTCTTTCTCTACTTCTTTCAGATAAGGCTTAATAAACAACCTGTATCCAATCATATCTTATCTTATTTAAAAAGAATAATAAACAGTTCCATTTAAACAGATAAAAATAACAGTTCCATTCAATTTGTATTCATTTCATCCAAAATTTACAACATAAGCACAAACTCAAGATTTTTCATACTAATCTCCATTCCATGCTTTAGTATATGCCATATTGTGGTTCAAAATTTCAGAGCTTGTTATAAAATCCATTATTCTGTCTTGAGATGATGAGAACAAAGATATTAGACACTTTCAACATTAAATATGCAAAATACTCAGCTGTAAAGTTGCCTTTGTTGCCTGTATTAATCTATGAAAAAGCTGAATTATGTCCCTTGGGAGTATTAATTTCCAACAAAAGTCCTTTCAAACAGTAGATAATGAAAAATTATATATGCCTGATATAATAAAAGATAGAAACTATAAAATGAAGCACTATTGAATTATTTGCTGCATGAATTGCCAAGAATATGACCAATTCTTTACACAGGAGAGTATAATTTCTATCTAAATTTAGCCTCAAGAGGGCCTCTTTTTTTCTTAGATGGACAATTTTAACACTGAAAATGCTTCTAGTATGACCAAATGTTGCCTTACTCCATAAACAGTACAAACTTAACCAGACAATTTCCCATTTGAATAGATTATGTCTACAGAAATACCCAAGTGATACATTTAGGGAATTACACAGCAAAAAAGGCAAATATTTCAGTTAAAAATATTTGTCGCGACTTGAATTCTGGTGTTTCCAATTGAATTAATCATTGCGAAAGGTGAAAACAAATACAAAAGAACTATAGCTTGGTGCATTTTATACAATATAGTTAATATTGAAATCCTAGAATAAAGTTTTATATCAGTACCCATGAATTTGACTTATTATGATGACTCAGCACTTTTCTCAACACAGTATTGTTCTCAGTGAAAAAATTCTATTCTTTGTGATAAAAATCAAATGTACTAACCAAAAGCTTCAAAATAGTATACTTTAACTGAAGTCGGATTGATTTTGATTTCCCTTGCTATCTTCGGTATAGGGAAAACGGTACTATTTATTCTGCCATAGGCGACAATACTAACATTTTCTAAATTTACCACTTTTTATAATAAAAACCCCGATAAAACAGTTATGTGTGGTGTTAGTACTTTATTATTCTGTTTTGAAAATTGAAGCCAAATAGTATCATGACCAACTTCCAATGGAGCTTGTTAATGTTATCCATGCCCACCGTCATTTTACACCAAATTTATGAAATTTTTGAAGTCTTTTCGAATAATTCTCTAGAAAATATTTCAATAGGTTTCAAAATTTATATTGTAAATATACACACTGCAGTTATTCATAGATAAATAAAAAAATATATTGTACCCTAACATCCAATCACAGCGCTCCTAAGTTGACTTCCTTCACCTGCCTTGGGTACACAAAAGACCAACCTAATGCTGGGAAAATGTAATAGTACCGTTTTCCCTGGAAGGTAGATCCTTCTCCACACAGTCTACAAACTATTACATAGAAAACTAAAGACTTAGTAACTCTGGAAGGTAGATCCTTCTCCACACAGTCTACAAACTATTACATAGAAAACTAAAGACTTAGTAACTCTGGAAGGTAGATCCTTCTCCACACAGTCTACAAAACATTACATAGAAAACTAAAGACTTAGTAACTCTGGAAGGTAGATCCTTCTCCACACAGTCTACAAACTATTACATAGAAAACTAAAGACTTAGTAACTCTGGAAGGTAGATCCTTCTCCACACAGTCTACAAAACATTACATAGAAAACTAAAGACTTAGTAACTCTGGAAGGTAGATCCTTCTCCACACAGTCTACAAAACATTACATAGAAAACTAAAGACTTAGTAACTCTGGAAGGTAGATCCTTCTCCACACAGTCTACAAAACATTACATAGAAAACTAAAGACTTAGTAACTCTGGAAGGTAGATCCTTCTCCACACAGTCTACAAACTATTACATAGAAAACTAAAGACTTAGTAACTCTGGAAGGTAGATCCTTCTCCACACAGTCTACAAAACATTACATAGAAAACTAAAGACTTAGTAACTCTGGAAGGTAGATCCTTCTCCACACAGTCTACAAAACATGACATAGAAAACTAAAGACTTAGTAACTCTGGAAGGTAGATCCTTCTCCACACGTTGCATTTGTTAAGTTATTAGGAAAATTATATAAATTTGAATGAATTATCATGAGAAAAATTCAGAATTTCATTTAATCGACGTGTAATGCTTAATTTCATATCAAAGAATAAGTAAAACAAACATAATGAAATGCAATGTGTTTTATGAAAGATCAATGTAGAAACATGTCGACTTGTTTTCGGAAAATCTTTCCAAACAATCGGCGATTATTGAAAAAGAGAGACAAATAGGGACATTCAAACTCATAAGTCAATAATAAACTAACAACGCCATGACAAAAATCTGAAAAACGAACATGCGTATATATTCACCCCTGATACGGCCATAAATCACCTTTAAATTTAGCCAACAAACACACAAAAAAACAATGATAAATTTAACTAGTTTGTTTATACAATTTTACAAGAAATATTATACAAATAGAAATGCCGAATATCCAATAAGTTCACAAACTAGTATGCTGTCAACGTATACAACAACTCCAGAGATCTTCTATATTTCTTTTAAAGTCTAACTCGGTATCTGTATTTATAGTTGCCTTGGAAACTTATAGAACACGATAGAAGTTTAAATTACGCATCGTAGATAATGATCATTCTGGAATTTATTTATTATGTTAGTCAAAAAGAAAGTTATAATCATTCCATCACTATCTACGATTGTTTCATTGAATTCTAAACTGCACATTAACATTTTTTGTAAACGACTATAAATAGGTCACAACCAAATTATGTAAACATCTTATAAGGAAACACAAAACAATCTCAAAAACCAAAAACAGCCAATTAACCTCTTCTTCATAGTTGTATGAAAAAAATTACCATATAGAATACCTCAATAGTCTTTTGTGTCGCCGGCATTCAATATTGTTTTATTTTAGTTTTGGCAGCTGCAGAATACATTTTTGAGATATAAGATAATATGCTCTCTGACAAACCATTGGTTCATCAAACATTCACTCCATATGCAGCTGATAATAGTATATTGCTGTTAAAATTATTTATAAAAGTGTCACGTTTATTGCAGAGCTTGGCGTGAAGATGTCCGATAAATCAAATCTAAATTAGCTCTGTGCTATTATTCTTCAGCGTATTATTTTGTTGCATCACTTTCGCTCCTCACAAGGCGGAACGTGTCTCGACTTGACGAAACATTTGAGAAAGTGAACTTGAACCATTATAGTAGAGCTTGTCTTATGAAATGGTGACATAAACAACCCAAATAGCCAAAACGGCGATTTTTTGGAAGTTATTTTCAACGAAATTCAGGCTTAAGAAATTAATAGTGCAGTGTTCGCAAACTGAATACTTCATGTCTAGTAGATTAGCCTTACTTCTTTTGGGGACGTTAGTAGTATAGTAAATTCTCAATGATGCGAACTGTCATTAAAAAAAAACTATAGATTGTTGACAAGCAGATTTAAATGGTTAAAAGAATCAGAAATTTGTTATAAAATGTATGTTTAATTATTCCGTAACAATTTTGCAGTAGCTGACCACAAAGATATATTCATTCACGTACATGTACATTACATTACCAATGAATCTATGGATTCAAATGAGTTAGTGTAATTGTTAGTGCTGACTATTGCTTCTTCGTGTTTTACTAACTTGTACCACATTTTCCCCGTCTTGATTATTTGGTGATCATTACAAATAAACACATCAAAGATACCAGGATAGATATTGTGTACGCCAGACGCGCGTTTCGTTTTCAAAAGACTCATCTGTGACGCTCGAATCAAAAACTTAAAAAGGCAAAATAAAGTACGAAGTTGAAGAGTTTTGAGGATCCAAAATTCCGAAAGGTTTTTTCCAAATAAAGCTAAGTTAATCTAAATTCCGTAGTATTTTGAAAAAAAAACCCAAATAATTCAAGTCAGTCTTTAGTTTTCTAAATTGTGTTTTGTATACTGTTGTTTGTCGTTTAGTCGTCTTTCGTCTTTTTTGCAATTTTGTCAGTTTATTATCGATTTATGAGTTTGAATATTCCTTTTGTATCTTCCAACTTCTTTTACGAGCATTACAAAGTTTATTATAATGATCCGTGTCTGTACTTTTGGAAAAAGCAATATTGTACATATAAAAAAATCAAGGGTATCCTGTGTGATTGTACTGTGTTCTGTGTAGACCCTGTTAACACGCGTTACGTTGTTGCCGGTGTAAATTATATTTAGGCATTCAAAGATACAAAATGTGTTGATACAGGCTTATACGCAATAGGAATATGAACAATAGATGTACTTAACTTTAAAGTAACAAACTTTTACGTCATTTAGTCTATGGTGGAAAGTTGTCTGAGTGGCTATAATATCATCTTCTTATTTTTTTAGTTCTTGAATTTTTCATCATCCCATTTAAAGCTACGTCTTTAATGAAACGATGTTTTCTTAATGAAATGTTTTTTTTTTGTCTACTTTTAAAATTTGACTACTGACATTTTATAGAAGTCTCAGTTTTCTAACAGCATCTGTACGTGATAAGTAGAATCCGTGTAATGTTGACATACTAATGTTGAATATCAAGAAAACTCTCAGCAAGCTTTATTTCGTTATTTTTTTTTATTATATACGTTTACTGTATACATGGTATAGAATCGTCAACAATGAGTTACGGAATATATTCTTCTATGAATTGGAAAGGATCATGTGACAAACCAAACAATTTAAGAAGTTTATATATATAAATAATTAGGAAGGAATTAGGCATGTACTTCGCAGTTTCAACCATAGAACATCATTGATTGAGAAAAAAGAAAAGAATCGTAATGTGAAATGCATTACATGAATAATGGAAATACACGTGTATATGGCATAGAAATTTATTGATTGTTATGTTTTGCCTCGACGTTATTTCTTGTCACAACGTCGTTATTATTTTCTAGTACTCCCCTCATCATCAATACCTGCAAAAAAGTGTTTTATGTTTATATGTTCATGAATATATTGTAGTATAACACTATATACTGAAACAAATTGAGTGCATACCTCTTTATGTATTGTTTTGAAAAAGATATCAATACCTTAACTTAATCTTATATTAGATTTAGTTATAAACATAATTTTGTGCCATCAATACAAATCTTCCAAATCAACCCGAGAATGCGATGATTGGATTTCCCCTTGCTATTTACATGATAAAAAAAACCCGTTATACTTGATCAGGTCTTAACTCGAGGTCAACGCCCAAATAGTACGACTTCCTTTCTGCTAATTAAACATATTTTGAGGATAGAGTAAAGATGCTGTTATACTTTTTGCTTTTGTATTTACTCTTCTTGAAATCTTAAATTTCCTGAAGGTAGGTTTAAAAACTCTATAAATGTACAGAATTTTAATTTCTATTTAAGGATCGAACTCAAAGATTTGACATTCGATCAAGAAGGTAGTTGTTGGATATTAAGGCGACAGTAGTTTACTGATGTACAGCAGGCTGTTTGACAATTGTATTATACAAGATAAGCGTCGATGTTTGATAAAAAGAGAGTCGAAAATATACCAAAGTTGATATTCAAACTCATAATTCGAAAATAAACTGACAACGCCATGGCACAAATTTAAAAATACCGAAAAGAAAAACAACAGTACACAAAACACAACACAGAAAACTAACGACTGAGCAACACTAACCCCACCAAAAACCGAGATTGATCTCAAATGCTCCGGAAGGGTAAGCAGATTAACTTGACAATTACAAATAAACTGAATACTTATCGACTATCTACTTAAAATATTTTTGTTAGAAGACATTTAAACTCATACAAATTTTGGAAAGATAACACTTAAATACTTCGGACCACCTTTAACTCTTAATTTGAAGCCACTGAGATTGTGTAACGTAACTTACGATTTTTGTAAAATCATGCAATTTATAATACTAATGCACTTTTTTAAAAATATTATTATTCAAAGCGACTTTTGTTTTGGTTTGTAAACTAAAACTGCCTTGTTGTAAAAAAAGGCAAATAAAATTTCATCATGTTTTTAGATGTTTCAAATTTATGAATTTATATTACAACAGTTCAAACGATGTTTCAGTTGCCTGTTTTTTGTGTGTGTCTATTTTTGCTGTTTCGTTGTCGTGTAGCTCATTCCTTCCTTTAATCATATTAAAAAATTCAATTCGACGTGTTTAATGAAGGATACTTACATTTACTTTCATAAGTAACTACCATCCTATATCGCCTGCATTTTGCCACAGCCTTAAATGAATCTGGACATGTGCTATCGATATCCATTGATGGTTCATCCCATGTGTCATTCACGTCACGACAGGTTCCTTCAGAATCTTTACATCCTGGATTCAAAGAATGTATTTAACTTGCAAGCAACAATTCTAAGAGAATAAATATCGCAATCCCCCTCCGAATTTTAACAACACGACCAAACCAATAACAAAGTTGGAATAGCATTGAAACCAAAATAACTCCAACTGGTTGCAGCGATTATATGAAAAGAACAGCGTCAATGCTTTTTCATGTCGAGAACGGAAATTTGACCATTGGACTAGTGATATTCTAGATGAAAACAAAATGACTATCAACAGCCATATCGAGCCAGTGGTTGTTAAAAGGACATTAAATATTAATACCTCGTATAATCTTCTGTCATGGTTGAAGAAAATAATTTGACCCTAAGATTTGTTTTGGTGTTTTTCTCACTTTGACATTTACCCTAGATCTCTTTTTATTCACACAGTGACGTTGATTTAACAATATCACTTTGTTTAAGGAGATTAGGTCACGTGAGATTAGAACAATATAATCATAAAATATTTTGTTTTTCCTAACAATGGAAGAAAACAATTTAAATAAATCACTGGAAAATATTAAATATCAACTCATACTGTTTTATTATGAAAAAAAAATATCACTGGTCGATCTGCGCTTGTAAAAGTTTTATATACCAAGAGGATCAAGAGAGTGTGTTAGTTGTTGTTGAATGCACTTCCTTGATGGCGAAAAAGAAAATTTCCGGGGCTGCATTGTGTGCTTCTATTGCTCCAACAGAGTTATGAGGAGGAAAGATTAAAAATGACACTCCGTAAATTTTATAGACACCATCACGAATTGGTTGATCTTTACGATGTGTCTATGTCTAAACTAACTAATGACATTTTTACCACGTCTTAGATTGTGGTTTTACATCTATGTTGTCTGTCTGCTAAGTACCGAACGTGACCTATTCCCGAATATGACTGTTATATCTAGTGCGAACTTGCATTGCTATACGACGTGTCTCTGTATTTTGTACATCCAACATTCATGTATTTTTTTTTGATGTCTTTGTTATGGTTTCGGTTGAATAATGCGTTATGTCTTATCGTTTGTTGTCCAAATAATTATAAAATTGACCTTCAATACCATCATTGTAATATTCCCGAATATGACTGTTATACCGAGTGTGAATTTGAATTGCTTCACGACGTGTCTCGGTATTTTGTACTTCTAACATTCATGTATTTAACTTTGATGTTTCTGTTATGGTTTCGGTTGGATAATCTGTTATGTCTTATCGTTTGTAGTCCTAATAATTATAAAATTGCCTTTCCATAACATCATTGTCATGAAAATTGTTTGGACGAGTATTGTGAAAATAATTGTATAAAGTTCGAGATTGCATGTTAGATACGTAAGCGCGTCACTGTTTGTGGTATCCTGTGGTATCTGTCGTTGGTGGAATATGCTTGTTGTTGTTCTGCGGTTTGCTTGTTGTGTCGACTATTATATTATGTGTTTGTGCTGTATTTCTGTCACATAGTGTTGTCATTTTAGCGATATTTTTTAACATTGTCAAAAATCGGGAGGTTTGGCTAGCCATTAAACCAGGTTCAACCCACTATTTTTTCTTAAAATGTTCTGTACCAAGTCAGGAATATGGCAGTTGTTATCAAATAGTTCGTTTCTATGTATGTTGGCGTTTGTTTTTGTTGCACTTCAGTGTTCCTGTTGTTCCTTTGTTTTCCTCTTATAGAAGAGGGACGAAAGATACCGGAGGGACAGTCAAACTCATAGATCGAAAACAAACTGACAACGCCATGGCCAAAAATAAAAAGACAAACAGACAAATAATAGTACAGATGACACAACATAGAAAACCAAAGACTAAGCAACACGAACCCCACCAAAAACTGGGGGTGATCTCAGGTGATAGATAGTTGATGTGTTTCCCTCGGTTTTAGTTTGTAACCCGGATTTGTTTTCTCCCAATCAATGTATGACTTTTGAACACCGGTATACTACTGTTTTATCTTAAATGAGGAAGTCCAAACTTTTCTAGTCTCCTGCAGTTTACTTTTTCACGTGTGCATTTTTATGGAAGTTATTTTGTGTACATATCAAGAAGGACCCCTGCTCGTCTTAAATTTAAAAACAATGTATTCATCTTTAAAAAATAATATGAGTACAAAACATGAGAAGTAGGATCTGTCCTTTAACCTACCTGACTTTACGTGCCTTATCTGCAATTTTGGTCCATATCTGTTAGTAATTGTCACAATGCACTTATCAGTGTCACATACAGAATTTTTCCATTCTTCAAAATGCTCTTTACATTGACCATCAATGTAACAACCTAGAATTTCAGTAACGACAATGAATAAAAAGAGGGGTAAACGTCAATATGACGGCAAATAATTAAAAGATATCTATAGGTCAACGTAAGGTCAACGTAAAGTCTTCGTGAATAGAAAGTTGTCTAATAATATGTCAGGTCCTTAACTGTTTGCTGTAAAACAATGTGAATTAATAACAGAGACTTTAGGTTTACCATCAACATCAAATATGAAAATTGTTTCTACTAACATTACCACCACCCACTAAAAAGACAAAAACAAAAACTTTAAAAAAACAATAAAAAAAAAGTACACACAAAAAACCTGCAGATTTTTGGCGCATGATTCCTCATTCCGATAGATAGAAGACATCGAGGAAAACTTCCGTTATTATACAATACGTATCATGGACAAGCTTCTTATGATCTACGAACAATAATGAACCTCCTGTACTGTTACCGGCTACAATCTTTAAAAACAACACTGACCTGATTATATCATTTTGTAGGTACAAACAAATCATGTTTATAGAAAACAACCAAGCTATTAAAAAAGTGAAATCGACGAAACCAGTAGTAATAAAGATTCAATCTCAAGATTAAAGTATTTCCTACCAGACTAATTCCATCAATCAAAAACCGCAATATGCCGGATTTTAAGGTTACATCTTATAAACAATACTTCGATATACATGTTCAAAACATAATTACGACCGTTATAGATTCAATATAAGGAATTACCAACGCTGTGGGTGCAACAGTCAGACTGAAGAAAACTTTCATTTATTCTTTGAATACATCTTTTTATGCTTAAATCAAAATAAATAGCTTACGTTTTGTTCAGTCTTTAGAAATGGCTACTAAACTAAATGGAAACTAAAACGCAAGTTGTAACTGTTTACCAAAATAAGTTTTTAGTTAAGAAGTCTTTCATGTTTTTCGAAAAAGTGGACGTTTTGATTTTTTATACATTTATTTAAAGAGCGGTAAGTAAATAAAGATGACGTATGGCTGTGATTTGTTTCGGAAATTGTGTCCTCTTTCTGTTGTTTATAGTTTGAAATAACAAATCTATAATTGTTTAAAGTTAATATTGTCTTTATAACTATTTATACATTATAACTAATATATATATTTAGGAGAGGACTATTTAAGTTGTGATCATTTGTATTATCCTCTTTTTATACATAACTTCAAATAAATTATATTCAAAAGGAATGAACAAATTACTAACCCACATTGCATTTCGATAGCTAGGTGTCAGCAGGTGGTGATGGTAATTGGAAAACGAAAAAGTGTTAAACTTGATTTATTTGATTGTGGTTTCTATCTTCCATGTATAATATTGGATATTTCTCTTGGAAAACCCATTTGGACTAGGTAAATTCACATAAGTTATTAAACACCTTTATAATATCGACAAACCAAATGAGGTTACTGTTTATACAAACTGCTTTACTTTTGATATAATATCTCCTTGAGATATCCTTGGCATCAGTAATACAGGGCTTTAATTTTCTATATATTTTTGTACCTCTTGAATTCAGCGCACCAATATTAGAACTGCGTTTTATTCACTTAAAGGGAGATGGTATGCCTATGCCATATTTCAGGCCCTTGAATTCGAACATTTAGAAGGTCAATTATCTAACAATTAACGTCCTACAGATGTTATAGTGAAATTTATCTAAAACATGTCGTTTTTTAAAACATTTTTCTGTCCTACAAAACTAACAAATGAGGTCTTCAAACCTCTTACAACATTGCAAACACTACAAAACAGTTTAATTTTAGGATCTTTGTAATATACAAAAAATTATGACCAGGGTAAAATACCATTTTGGTTCAAGTTGTAGCCAACATTTTGCCAAAAACTTGGTAATGTAATGTGTAGTAATGTGCATTTTGACATTCTGCACCTATGTGTCCGTATTTAACAATCCTGTAAATTTATCAATTAAATTTACATAAATTTCAAAGAAATTACATTTTTTATTATTTCACATTTAGGGGCTAGATAATTGTACTTGCCATATCTCAGCTGTATTTAGTTTTCGTTAGTTCGGTGCTTACATATAGAATTCGGCTAGGAATATAAAATAGTACAAAATCTGAAATTGTTTGGAGACAACATATCTTTGCCGTTCACCTTTTTTTCTCAATATATCGTTAAGGATGACAATGTAAACTTTTAATATAAGTTGAAGAGAATAAATATTTGTCTTTTTCAACATGACTGTAGTTTTGCGCAAAACTCTTGTTGCATTAGACTGATAAAACATCGAATCTACTGCAAAATATAACAAGATACGGTGTGTACGTAGTGATCGTTTGCTTTAATATTGTAACACAGTGATGACTGCTGTACCCATATTTTGACTATTTTATTTATTATGTCTGTTTTGTTTACGCATCGTTGTAAATATAACGGAATTTGATGAGACTGTCGTACAAGTGAGAGGTTTAGCGCTATAAAACCAGGTTCAATCCACCGATTTCTACATTTGAAAATGCCTGTACCAAGTCAGGAATATGACAGTTGTCCATTCGTTTGATGTGTTTTGTCATTTGATTTTGCCATGTGATTAGGGACTTTCCGATTGAATTTTCCTCGAAGTTCAGTATTTTTGTGATTTTACTTTTTTCCCCCTTATTTTCAACTTAGTTTGGGAAAGGTTTGACGTTTGTAACAACTAAAGGATAGTGATGATGAGAGTCACAACAAAGGGTCCCGACAATTTTTCACAAGTAAAGTGGGATGTAGTTTTTGAAGTGTTCACGGTTAATTCATGCATATGCACGGGAGTGTCGAAGTTCAACTATCTTTTTGACCAAGATTATCAACGTATGGGTTTTTCCTGGTACACAACATATCTTTCAATAGTGGTGCATAGACTTTCCAAGTATCTTTCCCAAACTTTAATATAAAGGTGTTCTAATGAAGAAATGATTTTTGAACATATTCACAGGAGTAATCAAGCTGAACTAGCTTTCGTCCATGTAGGTTTTTTTTTTATTGAACTCTTTATATCTATAGAAGTGTCCAAGTTTCATAACTTAACGACAAGGCGTATTAAAGTTAGAGAACAGAAATTATCTTTAAATTAATGGACACATTCTTGTACAGACGGAGAGATAAACTGATTACTACGGTCTTCCGCCGATTAATTACAGGGAACTAATTAACAAATATACTATACTACTATGTAAAGAACGGACACTTGAGCCATGCAGTTGGATTCGTTTAAAGTGAATTTCAAAGACTTAACCATATTTTTTTTTAAATCTTCAATAATGCAGGGGGAATACATTTACGGTAAATGTTTAAATACATCATATACCAAGTGTAGAGATTTACTTAGGTAAAGTTGATAAAAGATTAAAGTATTATTTAAACTTAAAACGGAATGGAAGAAAAATATCTGAAAGCTAGATTCGTCCATAATATGTTAAGAATAAAATGATTAAAACATTTAGAAAAACAACAAATATTATTTGGTTATATGTGTAATTACAAATACGATTTGAGGATATTTTTATTATAGAAAAATGTTACTTTAACCTTTATCGTGTATATAATTCGAGATAAACAATGAGAAAAGTGAAAATACTTTTCAAACTTGTTTGCATGTGTCTGTGCTCACTTCTTACACTACTTACCTCTTTTATTAAACACCCATCGACCTCTTCCACAGACGGCTTCTGAGCAAGGGTTAATCTGGATTATATGTCCTGGTGCGCTACATTTGCCGTACATTCTACAACCTTGTCATAAATATACGAAAATTTACTTCATAATGATCATAAACGCGAGCTAATGCACTGCCATATTACCCATTGTTAATTTTGGGTATAACTGTTTCTTAATTTGTAACCATTACGAATTGAAGAGAATTAAAAACCAAAATTTCAAATATTGTGCAAAATTAACTATTTAGTTTCAAAAACGAAAATGCAAATGTGGAGCAATATAAACCATCAATCAAGAAAAAACAAATAATAGCATGGCCAAACGAATAACGACAACCAAATGTCTTCAGGACTGTATACTGAAATCAAATATATTAAGTAACACGAACCCAGCAAAAGCATAGGGGTTAAAGTCAGGTGTTCCGAAAGGGTAAGTAGTTTCAGTACTCGTCGGGTTGATCATATCAAGTAAAATTTTGATGGTAGGTCCTATTATGATGTTGAACACTATAAAGAGCTCTTGTTTCATTATCTGCCATTCAAGGAACAACCTCATGTGAAGAAAATTTGTAAAAATATCTCAAGCTCTGTAACATACCACCAAGTATAACCTGTACACTCAATTTATATAAATAAGGAGATCTGTTATGATTGTCAATGAGACAACTATCCACAAGAGTTCAAATGACGAGATGGTTAGCAATTAAAGGTCACCGTATGACCTTCAACAATGAAATAACGGAAAGTGAGCAATAAAAGGCCTCGACATGAAAAATGTGAAACAATTCAAACAAAAGTCTAATTTATAACAATTCAATATACGAAAAGCAAATATGATAAGCATGAACCAACGATAGCCACTGAATTACTGGATCCTTACTTGAGACAGACACAAATAAAATGTGTCGGGGTTAAACATGTTTGTGAGTGCTCAACCCTCATTCAAATGAGACAGTGGTGTTACAGCACAACATAAGACCAATCTATAAAAATCAGTTGCAAATCGTATAACAACATATGTCGGTTCGAAGCACATCGCGCTGGTCAATTAATGTATACGATTGGAAAATGTATAGCTTTCGAACTGTCCGCAATGAAGGATTTCTAGAAGGAAGGCAAGACATAATTTGACAATAAGTGATATCTGTGCGCAATAACTACCATGACTATTCTGGAACTGGACATTTATTTTAATTCCATTTTTCATCCGTAAAGGAAAAAAATAATTAAAATGGACAAATTAGGATATGTAATTATTCTTTAAATACTAATGCGTTGTGTTACGGTCCGTAATCGAACGATTTTTCGTTTTCACTTTTAAAGATTATAAGTATATCAGTAATTAAATACAAGCCACAATAAACAAAAGCAACTCTGAAATAATGTGCGATGCAAACCAGTGTCCTGATGACAGATGTAGATTGAAGTGCAAATCAACATAAAATAAAAGAGAAATATTGAGTATATTTGAATATTTTTTGTAATGTTGAGATAAATATAGTTGAGTTACCTCGTGTTCTTTTTACACGGTGTAATTCCGTTCCGAATTCGTCAACATTCTTCGTACATATCTGATGGATACATCTTTTTGTATTCAACCATATTGCTCCGACATCGACACATTTTCCAAAAGACCGACATTCTAAAGAATTGTAACTTAATAATTAAGTAGTAGAATCAATATTGTGTAACTCTTTGTTCTCTACTCTTGTGTTTGTGATATTGTTTTATGAATGTCTACTCATCATGTTTTCATATTATACCCACGCTCCAGTAGTGAATCCATAGTGCCATCCTCTTTGTCCGTCCATCTGTTGGTCCAACACATATTTTCGTCACACTTTTCTGAGAAACTACAAAATTGCTTCATATTTGATCAGCCGCTTGACAGTGATGAGTTGTAAAGTGTGAACTCCTACTTACAGTTTGCCGATACTTTGAATTTTTCAATATTTTGAATGAACTTGAGATTTTTTGTCACACATTTTCCAATACTACTGCACAGAATGACTTGATATTTGGACAGCACATCAACAGTATTGAATTGTATTGTTTTTTTCGCTTTTCTGGTCTGTTAGCTCCCTTTTTCATGTTCTCATATGTTGAATTACGATTGGAGAAATGCTAAGCACGATAACGAAGTTTATTTATAAGAACACGTATAGAAGTAAATTCAAGGCAAAGAAATAATAAATTCTAACGTTCCTTTCAGTAAGCCAAATTTTCTGATTTCATTGACACTTGACATAATATGTTTCTGATGGAATCAAACACGGTTGTTTCTATATATGATAATGTTAAATATATACAAATTAAGAGTAGAAAAATATATGAGATATGGTGTAAATAACTTTATATGCAGACTTACGTATTGTCGTTCCAATGAACGAGGCTTTCTTCCCTGTTGCATCAAGCCTGCATTCAATTCTGCTACAACCAACCCTTTTTTTCGTTCCTACTGGGTAACATTTCTTTTGTCTCTTGTAATAACAACCTAATAAAAATTAGCATTGACAGTAGTTAACTTAAAATTAACGACGTGGAAAGGTAATAAGTTTAATGATATTAATTTGATTGATTTTATTACCAGAAAGAGGAATCACGAGCGTTAAGTAAGCTACATTTCTGTACAATGTATAAACAATAAATAAACTCATCATAGATACCAGAATTAAAATTGTGTACGCCATACGCGCGTTTCGTCAACAAAAGACTATTCAGTGACGTCTGAATTAAAAAAGAAAATTATGAAGATACAAAAAAATGGGCCACAAATGCATGAAATGGGGGATCTAGTATTTGATACAAAATGATAATCGAGGATTTGTAAAAGTAGAGGAATAGCTTAGTTGTTTTTTACTTTTACACATTTAATCTAAATCATAGCCCTAAATGAACAGAACCGTTAAAAGGGCTAAAGAAGGAGATAAGTTATGCATGTCTAAGTACCTGGTACGATCGACTGACAATTGTAGAATTTACACCCGTCATTTGATACTTTAACCACAGAGTCACCTTCTGGAATTTCTGCAAAAATAAAATCAAATACATCATTTAACGCAGCGCTGTTTTAAAATAATTTTTATCGTAGATTTGCGCGTTTTTGTTTTTTTGTGTGTTTTTTTTTACGTTGAATTTGGTTTTCACTTTTCTCAGTCGTAATGATAAAAAGTTATGTTGGACGGAAACGCAGGGTTATTTTACTGTATTAGTAACACTAAGTTCAAATCCAAGGATATATAAAAACATTGAATACACGAGGACCTACTTGACAACAAAGTGACATGAAAAGCAATAGCCAAACCCACAATGTCAACTTCGACTGCGGGAGTTGTAACGAATAATTTCTTAATTTATGAACGGGGAAAATAAGAACGGTATGTTTAGTATATACCATTTTAATGAAGAAGCAAGGACTACTGAGGTGATGATACCCTTGGTGTCAAGAACAATTAGCAAAACTGATCAATGTAAAAATAGGATACAAATGTTTACATTTATATATTTTGCGTCCAGGTATAATGAGACAACTATCCAAACAAGTCCAAATGAAGCGGATTTAAGCAGCTATGAGTCACAAAACGGCCTTCAAAAATGACCAAAAACCTATACCGTATAGTCCGCTATGACAGTTCCGACATGGCAAAATGTGAAACAATTCCAACGAAACGAACCAACAAACCTGATTTATGACAAAACAATAAACGAAAAACAAATATGATATACAGCAACCAACAACAACCACTAAATTACAGACTCCTTACTTGAAACATGCACATTTTGAATGTGCGAGATAAAACATGTTTGTGAGTGCTCAACTGTCCCCTAACCTCGGTCAGTCATGAAACAGCATTACATAAGAACAAAGCGTAAAAATCAGTTGGAAATGGCTTGAATCATCAGATCGGAAAATAACTAACATTAAGACGAGAGACAAAAAGTGCCGATCTAAGAATACTCGCAATTACATTTTACTGATCATGATGATAACTAGTTCATACCCAAACAATGCAACTATAAATTAATCAGATTATAGTATTAATTACTATACATCCATCGGATGAAGACGTCATAAACAGTGCGAGAGGAGCATAACCATGTGCAATGCCAAAAGGAACCTTCGTATGTCACCATGAATATTTAAAAATCACTATTAAATAATACGTTTAAATTATTTCATGTTTTGATTTTTTGCTAGTTTGTTTGTTGTTTTTTCATCACCATGTATGTGTTTAACAAGACATACCAAGATTATCCCCGGTTTTTGGTGGTGTTCGTGTTTCTCAGTCTTTCGTTTTTATGTAGTGATTTGTAGACTGTTATATGTCTTTTCGTAGTTTTTCATTATTTACAATGGTATGGTCGGGTTAACTTCGACGAATGATTTTTTATTGTACATTTGGTGTCTTCTGTCTCTTATTTGTTTACTATGTTTATATAGTTTTTCACATAAGCATATACCCATTATGATCAAGGGCTGCTATAAAGATCTTTTTTTCCATTTCCATGAAGTCCAAGTATAATGAATGCAAAAGTGATGGATGCAATAAAAGTTATCCCTTGTAGATAATTATTTCAAACTGTTTTAATTTAATTAACACATCCAATATAGATATACTGTAAATGTAAATAACAAACAACACAAACTTGTGAAAAAAGTTGATCAAGGAGTGCTGACACTAAACTAAAACTAAAAATTGTTGACTAAATCTAAAACTTTAAAACCATTCAAATTATTAAAGTTTTGTTCCAGACTGAGCCATGCAAATATCCTTTTTAATTTTTAATATTTACGTTCGATTGTTTTTTCTTCAAAACTTCCATCTGAATGTTTGATGCAGTGCTTCAATGAACAGCCAGCCAACCATTCATCTTTATCACTGTAACATTTTCCAGGATGCAATGGTTCTTTACAAGCTGTTAGAAGAACATTATGTTATGATATGATTATAAAAAAAACGCTATGTATGCATATTTGTTTTAATTATGATAAACTTTATCCTCTATTTTTTATATTCTAAAGCGCTATTTCATTTTACCCAAATGTTGGATGGATTATAAGCATATAATACATAGTTATGTCATGATTTCTGTTTTTGTTATGTTTCCTAGCACTGGAACAATTTAAGTAAGCTTACTGACTACTGCGACAAGACTTTATGTACAATGTTGTAAATATGTCTATATAATATATAAACTATAATGGTAAATAATATTTTATGAAAAATGTACATTTATCATCATACCAACCCACTTTTATCTGTTTCCATTCGGCTCCAAATTCAGACGCTTTCATCGTACATCTTCCAGATGTGCTACAGTCTCCAGGAGTTATATCATGTACAGCTTCCAATTCATAAATAGTGTCGTCGTACTTGCAACTAACTGGCCCATCTGTTTTAGAAATTAATAATGTTACTGTTGTAACCAAATATTAAATGTTGCAAATACTTTATCATTTACATTTTTGAGATGTCAAAGCAAAATCTTGATCAGTGTGAGGTTTTGATATTTAAATCAAAAGGATTTCGAAAGTTTATACAATATTATTATGGCATGTTGACTTTAATCCAGAACCTTGAAATCCAGCGGAGTTATAAGTATCATGTTTAAGTAAAAGAACAACTCCTAATGCTTAGTTGAGTAAGCTTTCATCAACTTCATTTGAACTTTGGTGCATAGTTGTCTCATCGGCAATCATACCTTATTTTTATAAGTTTAAATGTATATGTTTTAAACCCCATTATACTGAAATATTACTATAATATGCAGGGTTATACAATTAAAACGTGTTCTTATTCCATAACTGTACCATGAACCTGATGGGCAAATGGTGTTTTTTAAAATGAATTACAGTCGAATATATTTGTAAATTGTGTGCTGTATCTGGACTTAAAGTTGAACATTTTTTTTCGGCAAATGCCTGTACCAAGTCAGGAATGTTACAGTTGTTTTTCAGCGTTCCGTTGGTTGATAACGTTTGATTTTGTTACCTTTTTTTTAATTTACCTTGCAGTTCAGTATTTTTATTATACTTAATTTTTTAATTTTTACTAAAACTTTATTTTTAGTAATCTTTACCAATTGAAAATCTTTTTTTTTTAAATATATCATATATCACTTCTTTTTCTTTAATGGTGCATGAATAGGCTGAACGACACCACCATTGTTTCAAAAATTCCACCCGGAAATTGCAAAATATATGACAGATAGGATAATTTGGTTTTTTTTCTAATTAGTGTGAAATGAATTGTATGAACATCGTATACGATAACGCTATCAGCGTTATGATTAAAACACATCATTGTCAAAATACTAATACAAAGAATGATAATAGGAATTTAAAAAAATAATGTACAGTAAAGCAGACTATATCAACCACAAATACCCGACTCTGATAACTATTTTCTTTAATTTCAATGATAAAATGTGCTAATTAAAGCGGCCATTTTAAATCTGCGGAAGCTTACATTTTAAAGAGTGTAAATAATAGAAAAAGAAAAATGAGAGAAATAAAATGAAATTTGTAAGTACACATACCTGAGAAAGGATCGAAAAGAGGAGGACCGAATTGTTGCGGGTTATCAAAGTGTAAGTGAGAAGCACAATAACATATCGTTAAAGCCAAAACTATTTTGTTCAGCATGTCTGAAAAAAAGATTTTTTTTTTATTAATTTGAAGCTAGATTATCCGTTGTAAACTATCGGCATTTTAGATACATGATTCGTATACAGGTGTTAATAATATTTAGAAGATCCATTCCCATAACTTGTATTGGAAAAACCAACTAAGAGATAAAAATTTAATTTACAAATCTTCCAACATCAATTATACTAGCATTGGAAGAAAACATTTTTCTGAAAATGTGTATTTATACTATCATGTAGGAATAAGATGGTATCCGTTTTACTATCAGGTCTGTTTGAAGCGACTGTTGTGTCCTTTAAAACTTTTAACAATTTTGATTTCGATTCAGTGTTTTTTTTTTTTTATTTTTAAATCAAAATTGACTCCAGATTGATAAAAAGAACCAAATAGACGAGTCTCGTAAACACATAAGAAGTTAGTCGTCATTACTGATACGGTTTGTTTAAATAATAAAATTACTCCTTGGTTCTATAATGACTATAAAATGCAATTGATATTTGTAATCTGAGGGTACCCAAATTACACCTATTTTGACAGTTTTTTCACCAACGTGTTTTTATGATCCAGACAAAAGTTTCCATTCTGTATAAATTTTGTAGATGTATTCATTTTTACTATATAGTGCCACTAATTGAATTTTGAATCCATATTAAATCATAGAAAATGTGTTTAAACCGACCTCCAAACGATTCATGATTCTGCAATGAGGAGTGCCCAAATTACATTCAAGCTTAAATTCACATTCTTAAAAATGGAGTAACTGATGTTTTGTTTTATTTCTCCAATTTTTTTTTAGAACAATCTGAATTTATAGAATCAATTTAAAGAATAATTAACAAAAATTCAGTCTCTGAACTTTTCTTTGTTCCATCCTTATTAACTTATTTATAAAATTTACATTAAAATTTCATGTGAAAAAAATAAATTCAATTATTTAATGAAAAAATGTCTCAATTTTATTGACATGTAACGATTTTTGCTTATTTAACTTTCTGTGTTATAAGTAACAATAAAGTGTCAGTATACTTTCACAAAGACGGAAATTTGTTTCAAGATAATGCTTTTGATAAATAATAGATAGTCACAGCTTTACATAGTTCTTAAGTTTTCTTATGTAAAGAATGATTAATCCTTTAGTCATTTCAATTAGCTCTTATTTGGTCTAAAACCTAAGCGACAGATTTTTGTTATGTAATAAGTCAGGAGGACCGTTCAGGGTTCTCAATCACATACACCTTTGTTAGATTAATTAATAAACTCGTAGTGTACCTCACCTGGAAACAAAGTCACATGACTTTGGTATTTTTGTGGCATTGGTGGTCACTTGCAAACTGACCGTCAATAAAGAAAGTTCACATTTATATTTGTCTGTATTTGTCCAGGTGATTCATACATTTTTAATAGTTGTCTAATATATCAAATATAAATCGAATTCATATGATATTAAGTGAAATCTAGTTTCGTAAAGTATTCAAAAACTTGTGAAAATATATTTCATCTCTGAAATTAAAAGATTAACTAAACGATTCTGCAAGTAAAACTTAGTTAACATCTCACGAAGTGATTAAATAATTTGAGTGTAAATATTTAATGTGTGTTTTTGTGTGTTAAAAGGCAAGGTTAGTTGTCTCAACTAGCAAGGTTATTTTTCTTATTTTATTCAAAGTTATTTTATTCAATCTATGTATCGGTGCGCTGCTGCAAAGTATTGTAATGGTTATAATTCAAGTCAAATATATAGCATTTTTATAACCACATCAAAAATCAAAGTAATCATGGGAGTCCAAGTGAAAATGTACCATTTCAAATACTCAATAGGTAAATCCCAAGTCATAGACCATGCGTTTACACGCAAACAATGTTCCGTAAATGTTAAAAGTTCAAATAGATCCTCTACGAGGATGTTCAAAGTTTCGGTGCATGAAATAGCAGTAGGCCCGTGTTTTTGTGTAAATAGCGCATTTAATTATTGATTGTACTGTTATATTGTCTGTCAGTTTTATTATTATAAGTCACGATTCCTAGTTTCATAATGCTAACAAACCAAGTTTTATAATATAACTATGCAAAATACAGTCAGTCTAAATTTAGTATTGAAACTTAAAGTCAAAATTCATATTTTTGGTAGTAAAGGAGCTTAGATATATTAATATCTGTTTTATTAAGTATAGCTTACATAATTAATCGGTTTTTTTATTGTGTTTTGAGCTAATTTCCCTAAGTAATTCAGTATTCAGCTAGTTTCCCTATTCTTGAACATATTTCAGTCATTAATGATGTTCAGATCATTATTCAGATTAAATGCGACTTTTGCTTGGTATGATCAAATGTTCCATAAGTCTATAAGCGTCGTTATAAGAATCGTGTTGATTCTTGAATTCATCATGTTCATATTGCATTCTATTGTTCACTGTATTCATATTTCGTTCTATTGTGTATTGTCTTATATATTATATGTACTTGAAAAGTGACCGTTAATAAAGAAAGTTCATATTTATATTTCTATTTGTCTGTATTTTTCCAGGCAATCAGTCAGCGGTAATCTGTTCCAATACACTCTGTTCCAATACACTGCTCATAAATCTTCTTTTGTAACATCAAGTGGTGTATATCAGTGGAAGAGACTTCCATTTGGAATAGCCTCAGCACCTGCATCATTTCAGCATGCACCTAATAACCTTGGTATCTGTAGATGATATTTAGGTATTCAGTAGAAACTTTGAGGAACATATTAAACATCTCCAGTTGGTTTTTGATAGACTTTTATCAGCAGGGTTAACTTTGAAACCAAGCAAATGTGAGTTTGCATAAAAAGAGGCTCTTTACCTTGGTCACAGAATTTCAGAAGACGGTGTCAAAGTTGATCAATCTAAAGTTGAAGCTGTCAAATCTTTCCCCGGACCAAAAACTGAGACACAGTTCAGACTTGCGACTTTGTATGATGTTGTGTGTGACCAATGATGTCTGACTGATGTGTATTGGAACAGATAACCGCTGACTGGTTGACTGGAAAAATATAGACAAATAGAAATTTGAACTTTCTTTATTGACAGTCACTTTGCAAGTGCATATTATATATAAGACGATACACAATAGAATGAAATGTGAATACAATGAACAATGGAATGCAATATGAACATGATGAATTCAAGAATCAACACGATTCTTATAACGACGCTTATATACTTATTGAACATTTGATCATGCCAAGCAAAAGACGCATTTAATCTGAATAATGATCTGAACATTATTAATGACTGAAATATGTACAAGAATGGGGAAACTAGCTGAATACTGAATTACTTGGGTAAATTAGCTCAAAACACAATAAAAGAATGAATGAATATGCTAGCCGTACTTAATATAACAGATATCAATATATCTAAGCTCCTTTACTATTAAATATGAGTTTTGACTATAAGTTTCAATGCAAAATTGAGACTGACTGTATTTTTCATTCTTATATTATAGGCATTGATTTGTTAGCTTTAACATGAAACTAGGAATCGAGACTTATGATAATAAAACTGACAGACAATATATAACAGTACAATAACTAATTAAATGCGCTATTTACACAAAAACACGGGCCTGCTGCAATTTCATGTACCGAAACTTTGAACATCCTCGTTGAGGATCTATTTGACCTTTTTACATTTACGGAACATTGTTTGCGTGTAAACGCATGGTCTATGATTTGAGATTTACCTAATGAGTCTTTGAAATGGTTCATTTTCACTTGGACTCCCTTGGTTACTTTGATTTTTGAAGTGGTTATGAAAATGCTATTTTCATATGGGAGATAACTCTATATTTGACTTGACTTATAACCATTACAATACTTTGCAGCAGCGCACCGATACATAGATTGAATAAAATAACCGTGAATTAAATAAGAAAAATAACCTTGGTAATTAAGACAACTAACCTTACCTTTTAACACACAAAAGCACATTTTAAATATTTACACTCAAATAATTTAATCACTTCGTGAGGTGAGATGTTTACTAAGTTTTACTTACAGAATCTTTTAGTTACTCTTTTAAATTCAGAGATGAAATATATTTACACAAGTTTTTGAATACTTTACGAAACTAGCTTTTACTAAATATCATATGAATTCGATTTATATTTGAAATATTAGACAACTATTAAAATGTTTGACTCATGATCACCAGGACAAATACAGACAAATAGAAATATGAACTTTCTTTATTGACGGTCACTTTGCAAGTGACCACCAATGCCACAAAAATACCAAAGTAATGTGACTTTGTTTCCAGGTGATGTACACTACAGGTTTATTAATTAATCTAACAAAGGTTTATGTAATTGAGAACCCATAACGGTCCTCCTGACTTATTACATAACAAAAATCTGTCGCTTAGGTTTTAGGCCGAATAAGCGCTAATTGAAATGACTACAGGATTAATCAGTCTTTACATAAGAAAATTAAGAACTATGTAAAGCTGTGACTATCTATTATTTATCAAAAGTATTATCTTGAAACAAATTTCCGTCTTTGTGAAAATATACTGACACTTAATTGTTACTTATAATGAACAGATTTTGAAAATAAATGAAATTATTCAAATTGAAATGTTAAATCAATACAGGTACTAAATAACAGCTGCAATATGAAAGAATAGAACACATAAGTACAGACATTGGTATACATAAGATCGGCATGATAGAAAACATTAATCCAGCTTGTTATTACATGACTTTGTATTATTTTAATAAATTATACAATTTTAAAATATTTGTGGTGTGCGATCAAAATATATGAAGTAAACGTGGTTGACATAACACTTTTCAAGATTCTGGCTTTTATCGGATTGATTGGCATTGTGTCAGGGATAAGGGTTTCTTGTTTTGTATTGATATTGACTATATAGAATCCACACCGAGCAACATGAAATCTGGTTATAAAAGTTCCTGAAATTCTAAATTACGAATGTCATTTGGTGCAGAAATTTCCAAATCTGAAGGGCAAAGGGGTAAATTGAGAATTGGGATAACAACACAATGTATACGATTACTGACTTCTAGTAGGACTTGAGTGTGTGGTTGAGAACGACATTGAGTATATATATAATGTATTGCAACACAGAATGAAATTATGGTAAGCGATGTCAACCCAAATGATGACCATTGACCTAACTGTGAAATAAATTCAATGTTATCAGTTTCTGGTGTATAGTTTGAACATTTTCAACAAAAACTGGGAGTAACAAATGCTGAAATTGATACTAAGATAAGTCTAAGAATGGTATGGTCTCGAGTCCCTTGTGAGCTACCGAAAGGAAAATATTATGAATACAGTTCAACAAACTCTATGTTTTAAAAGAAAAAACACGAGTTTATTATTTTTTTTAATATTTTTACAGTACTATATTAAAACAAAAGTATTTTATCAAAACATGTTAATATTTAAGGTTACTTTCTTACAAATATCTGTTTTTAAATAGCTATCGTAAAATAATTTCAGATCTTCTTTAATCTAAATATTACCCTAACCAAATTTCTTTACTCTACCTTGTTTCTGGGTTGAGTCTACAATAAATACCCTCTAGGTCTAGATAGTTGAACCGCCGCACACCTTTTGGTGAATCCTGTAAGATTTTTATCAATTAATACCGATACTTCATTAATTTTGCTTTCGTTTGATTAAATTTATAATTTGTTAATGGCAACATATGCAACGTCTTAAACTTTGATGAAATTTTGCCTTTTTATCTTGTCAGCGGGTTGCAAAGACACAATGAATCACACAAATTTGTTCCATCTGTATATGTTCAATATGTTCATCATTTCTTTTGAGTGAAGTCACGACTTAATGTCCTGGTCGATTACGCCCTATTTCAGTCAGGAGTGGACGATACAATAGTGGCATGTAATGCTATAAATGGCATGGCAAAACTTCAATTTTAAATGAATTAGATGTATTAAATAAACACCTAGTCAAAAGTAATGAAAAATCGGTTTTATCATGAAATAAATGTCAAAGAATACATATAGCATGAAATACGAATAACAAAATGAACAAATATCTCACTATTATAAATAAATATTTTTAGATACAAATCTATGCTTTCGCAGTTTTACTTCAAGCTGCCACTTCATTAGCATTACAGTATAACTATAAAACAGTTTTCGCAAATAAGATTTTCCGATAATTGCTTTCACAATTCAATAAGTTTTATTCGCTCGTTATATTCTCCACATGATATTGCCATTGTCATGATGTTTTTCATTATTTATGTAAAGGTAGGATCTCATGAAAAAGCTTCTTCAAAATCTCAGCATTTTTTTTTTCTTTGACAATTGTCAGTATTTTTGTCAAGCTAGTTATTAACCATTAATTTAGAATCACAGATGTATGTGTACATGACAAAGCATTTAGCACAAGGATTTCTAAATTCATCCTTTTAACCCTTTATACTTCCAATAAACACTGAAAATATTGGAATCTTCATCTGAACGCGTAACTTTACATTCTCAATATTGCTGTAATCTAAATTTCAGTATTTTAGCCCAAAACCCCTCCAATTATGTTTTATAAAATCAATATATGTATTGAAAAATGATCAGCAATTTAAATTTCAATAATGTCTTAATCTACGTAACATAGCGGCAAATGCATAAGCTCTTTGAGAGGTGCATATGTTTCCACTAAAGGGAAAATGTTTTGTCCTTTCAAGCATAATGTTATCAGTGACAGTCGAAATTTTTAGCCCCATCAACCCCGTTGACCTATTTTACAGAACCTACGGTTTAAATTTTTAATTGATTTGGTTTGTCCCGAATACGCATGAAATATTAACTACCTGATGTTAACATAACATCAATCAATCAGAAGAACGAAAGGTGGTTAATATGAAAATAGAACTTCTTGATGAGCGGTGATACATGTATCTTTAAAACCTTTGCTATCCACATGATCCAGGTGAAATGTTTTAGAATAAGTTCATGATACAGTATTATAGAAAATTTTTTTCAAAACTTTGGCAGAATAACACTGAAAATCTATATCTTTTTACGTAATCTACCCCAAATTCTGCGTCAAATGATCTTTTTGCATACTGCTATATAGTCTTGGCTAAATAATTTCAATATATACTGAACATTTTCAATGTTTTCTAATGTTAAATGAAAGGTACTGATGTATCACAATAAACAACCACTTTTAATTTGAATACTAATTTTTAAAACTATAACACCTTTCAAATTCGCTCGAGATGTTTAGCATTAAATTGTTGTATAAAAAAATGGAAAGACTTTGTCTTTGCATAAAACTGAAACTACTTTTATGAATTAATGAATAAGACTAAATTCGTGATGTATGTCGAATATTCAAATGACACCAATATACATAAATAGTCAAACCAGGAGTCATATTAGCTCGCTTTCAAAGAGGAAGTTAATCATAGTTACTGCATACATTTGTTTTCCAGTTAAATACATCTACTGGAACAATAATTCATATTTCTCTTTTTCTATTCATTTACCATTTGAATTCCTACATGATCAATATCTCGTAATCATTTATTCTTTGATGACCTCAGATTTTAGAACTATGGCATACAAATTGAACACTGTACATATTGTTTATCGAGTACGTAGTTGCATTATAAAATCAGACAATCGATGTGAATTATTGTTACACGGTTCTCTGCCATCAAGATGAAAAGTTTCAAAACAACATTGTTTCATTAAATTATCATTTATCTTGTAAGCAAAGAGATGCGTAAAAACCGAAGAATAAATGACACTGTCATTTACTTTATTTCACGACACATTAAACCCCATAATTGTCAGTAAAAAGACTAAGTGAGGCTTAGAGCGCAAGTAATTGCCGTCGAAAAAGAAACAACAATTCATTTGCAGAGACATATGATGAATTAAAATATTTACTGGCTCTGTTTAGTCAGACAGTTTCTATTATCAGGTCAATGACTTATATTAAATTGAAAACTAAGTCTTGACTATT